TGCCTGTGGTTGGACGTCACAGGCGGGCTTCTGAAAACACCCCCAAAGTAACAGCTCATCCGCCAGATCTGGACTTTTGTAACTGTGGTGCGATGAGCACTATTCTTAGGGACAACATTTTGGTGGAGTCACACCTCCAGGAGGTGTGAATCTAGCCCCTGAAAAGAGCAGATGAGAATAATCCCTCACCCACAGACAACGTTGCTCTCGTGTCAAGCTTCGCATCTGGAGAGCTTGAGGCTGATGGTGGATGGCCACACTCGAGCCTATTCATTTAGGACACAAGTGCATGCATAGGCTGCCGACGGTCAATCAGAAGTGTAGGGCAGATGTGGGAATAAGTATAAAGATCCGGATTCCCATCTTTGTGCTTGGCCCATAGAGCTGTTTTTCTTAGCTATTTGATTTTTATAAATCTACAGCAGAAACAGAAGTTCCAGTAAGGCCTCTTAATTGCTACTTCAAAGATATTTCCTCTCCATCACTTTTCCCATATGGGAGTCTTCCTCATTGAAGGCAGAGCATGCGGGAGCTAAGGCAGATGATGCATTAGAGGCATTGCTTATAAAATGGTGGCTGTGTATGGACTGTTTAACACACTGTGGTGCAGCAGGTTCCCGTAGTACCCCTCCTGCTCCAGAGTCATGTGCTGGTACAGCTCTAAAGGAGTGACAGGGTGTGATGGTGTTAAGCATCACAGAGTAGGATAAGATCAAAAACAAAGGCCAACTGAGATTTCCCTGTAGTCAATCAAGAGCCTGAGCTGTCAAAGCAGGCAGGCCTGGAGTATTGCATGAAAACATAAATTTTATCTTACACAGAGCTTCAACTGTATCCATGATGTGGGAATGCAGAGCTTTGAATTGGAAAGGCTGAAGTTATCCCTGGTTTGTTTTTATATTCCTTTAGCCCCTGAGGGCCCTGAACAAGTTAGTTGTTGAATGAGAAATCTTCAGAGTGAATATGAGGAATTCTTTTTTTCTGGTGCTTAGGTTTAATTATAAGTCTAGAATAATGAGAAGATCCACTGTAATACTCCCTGTCCCTACCCTGAGGCCTGTAGTGTCCCAATGTCCCAAAAGACTGTGTGTGTCAAACAATATCACAATTCTGAACTACTAGGGAGAAAATACTGGATGTCCAGATTCCTGCAGTTAAGCATTTGGAAGCTGTTATGTCTGGGGTTTTTACCATCCCTAATGGCAATAGGAAACAAAATGAATGGCTCTGGTTCATTCAGTGGTTTTCCTGACGTAATTAACGGACAGAAATAGAAGGCAGGAATTGAAATAAACCACTCCCATTCTTTTCTTATCCCCCTCTGAGATTTTTGCAGGCAAAGATCTATAAACTTTACGTGTTTGCTGAGTAGTTTTTCCCATGTTGTATGTGACCCTCCGAAATCTGTTGACGCACAAAGGTCAAGTCCCCTGCACTTACTTTTTCCTGCAGCTACTCTCTGCTCTTTTCTGAAGTGGTCACGATATTTTTCTTCAGATTAGTGGGCATGGAGCATCTTTAGATGCAGTTTTTGTTAAAAAATCTGCCAGAGTCTGTGTCTGGTGGACACAGACTTGTCAAGCAATTTAGTTCTCTGTATGCTAGGGTATGCAGAGGATGCTGCTATTCCATTGCTTCTGTTTTAGCAGTGTCTGTGAAGCCTGTGTGCAGCACATATCCCATGGTGAAGAATTTTGAAATAAACCAAATTTAACTGTATGTAATGTCTTTTAGATCACAGGCAGAGTTAACCACACCCAGAGATGGCTACATGATGCCAGGAGACAGGCAATATTGTTTATATGATGATCACTGATAAACATCTTTTCTTGCTGGAGTGCAATCAGTGGGAGGATTTGGCTAGCTCTTCCATGAAGGGCGTTTCCATCTCTGCTCTTTCAGAGACTTATTCTTTGGCTTGTACAAGGGATAAAACATGAAGTTAACGCTGAAGAATATTGCCGTACTTTGTGTCTGGACAGAGCGAAATCCAGTAACTGCCTAAAATGGAATAGCTTCCCCATACACACCTTACAGTGGTACTCTTAAATAATTGGTTTAATGGTGAAAACATGGTGATATCTGTCATCTTAGATGCTGAGAATCTGGATTAATGTATGGATTGGAAGTGGCCTGGGATTCATACTTAGCAGCTCCTGCCCTCCCATGATCTTAGCAATATCTAAAGGCTATTACAATACTACAACCACCGTTTTCTCTTCCATTGAACCAGCAAATCCATTACTGAATGAAGGTGCACTGTACAATCTGCTTCCTTGTGCTGTCACACCTTAGGTTCCCTGCAAGGGGGTTAATAGGCATCTTCTGGAGAACTTCTAGGGGGGAAATTTCAGATGTGTTGGCAACAGATGGGATACATTCTTCCAGGACTAAACCTGGATGAGTGCTTGATAAATTCCGTATGAAAAGAAAGTTTAGCACACCTGAAAAGTGAAGGGACAGCCCAAGCTTGTGGGCTCACTACAATGGATTGAGTTTTGCCTATCAGGTGGCAAGAATTTGACCAGAGTGCTCTGATCTCTGCGGAAGAAAATACCCAGCTCTGTAATCTCGAGCTTGGGTCTTTCTCTGATTTGAAGAAGACAGATCGAGGAGCAGACATTGCTTGTGGCTGGAGGGGCCGTCTGCAATTAGAAATGGAAACTGGAAATAGGGAACAAAACTGCAACTTGCTTACTGAAATGGTGAGTTCTTGTATTAGTGGCTGTTTGCACAACACCTCATTCAAGTGATCTTTGTGGAATAGAAACAAGCAACCTCTCCAAGTTGCTGAGCTGAGAGGCTGCTGAATCAGCTGAAAATAATGTCATGTTCTGCTCCTGGGAGGACCTATAGCTCATGTGGCTTTGTCCAGCCAAATGGTGCTTCAGAATCTCAGGCAAATGATAGATGATTGACCTAGCCTGTGTTTTGTAACACTGTTTTGCAGATGCTACCAGCAAAATTGTTGTGTTCTGGTTACAGTTTTTAATTCTATTTGTGCATCGTGTAAGTAGGAAGACTATTAATAAAGAGAAGATGCATCTCTGTGAGCAACTACATGTACCTGTATCTACATGCAGTTGCACTGGCATAAACTGAGCATCATGTTTTCACCAATTCCAAGAGGGATTCTGTCTGTTTATCCAGGCTCAGCATCATTGTATAGGGAAAAAGGAAATGGTTTTTGAGCTGCTGTTGGAAACAATGCTATTCCCAAATATAAGCAAGTAAAAACACAGTTGAAATGGGTTGTGCTGTAATTTTGTTTCCTGTTTTACCAATTCTATTTATTTTCCTTTTCTCCCTACAGAACAATTCAATTAAAACATCAAAATACAACTTCTTCACTTTCCTGCCTCTCAACCTGTTTGAACAGTTCCAGCGAATAGCCAATGCTTACTTTCTTTTCTTGCTGATTTTGCAGGTATGAATTCACTGTGCTGTTTCTAGCAGATTGCGTTGTCTCTTATCAAAGCTGGTCTATGTATTGATAGTTGTAATAAAGTGCAAGCTGTTATGAATTAGCATGTTAGTAAAACCTTAAAGTAGATAGAAAGTAGGGCAGAAAAAAAGCAATTTCCTCTATTACCTTTGGCTATGAGGGTTTGAACTAAATGAAGAAAAAAATTCAATTAAACTTTTCAAAAAATTGTGTATCTTTTTCGTGCCCTGTCCTACCACCCCTTTGTGTCTATTTCTGAGTGCTCCTGGCTATCCTCAGGTTTGCATTACTTTTTCTTCCTCTAGTACAAAAGGAAGTTGTCTCTTGTCCATAAGTTCAAAGGAAAATTCCATTGGCAGTCTCAAAGGAAACAGCAAGAAGAACAAATTTGTAACCTGTACTGTTTCCCTGGGAAGGAAGGAGTTAACATCAGGAAGGGTCAAAGTTGAAGCTAGTTTGCATAAAGCTGAATATTGCTGCACCTTGCTCAGCAGGGTAAGGAAGGTGTCTAATATGGATCGTGTCAGACACTGGCAACACTATTGAACACTGTGGCACATAATGGCATTGATTTGCACTTTGCCCATCACTGTTGGTAATACTATTCTGTCTGAAAGCTGAATGCACTGGAGAAATTTATATCAAGATTTCTGCCCCATTGCACTTTGCTAGAATATGGATAAATGCAGTGTACTCTGTTGTTGCTGAGTCATACTGAAATACATGTTATGAAAAAAAGGGTATAATTTTGATTATGTTTCAAGGATGATATTTTAAATTTGACCATTTCAGTGCACACAAGTTTGCAAAATTATCTTTTTCAAATGCTCTTTTTCAATTTCAGCTCAAAAAAGTATAGGCAAAATACTTTTAAGCCTGTAGCAAACTACATAGGATCTTTTTTGCTTATTTACAGGGAATGAATTTGGGAAATTTCAGTGCACTTGCATTTTTTAAAAAACTAGTGAAAGTGCTTTTTCAGCTAAGCTGACAGCACTGTTCCTGTGTTGCTGTACTGCACTCTAGCTGTTTGTCTATCAAATTCATAGTATTTCAAACTGTTTGCCTTAAATTATTCCACTGTGTCTTTTGCTGAACCATCTAGGAGTGACTGTATATAAAAGCACACAGCTTTTTCTGCCTGCATCAAGGTAGGCTAAAAAGGGCAGCCATTAGTCTTTTATATTTACATATTCCCCCATTTAATTTTTTCCCTCTTCTGCCCACTCAATCCATCCCCATAGCACTGGGAGTATCTCTTCCTGCATCAGGAGTGGATGTGATGGGTAGGCTGTGGAACTCTGCCTCCCCACTCCTTTGGCACAGCCCAGTAGGACATGCATATTCCCAGTGAAGTGAGAAGGTAGCAGTTATGTGTCTCTGCAGCATCCACAGCTGAGCAGGGCTGTGCTTGCCTCTAAACATCATTCCTCCTGGCTGGATTTGGTGGTGCCTGTAGGATCTGTGTTGTGGCAGCGCAGTGGAAGGAGCAATCTCAAAGAGCAGCTCTCCACCCTTAAGCAGCTGCTTTAGGGGCATATATGTCAACTTCACAATGCACATGGACCTGACGCTGCCCAAATACAACCTTATGGTCACAGAGATGCTGGTAACACATCACTTCCATCATTAGTGCTGTTATTCCAGAGGAAGGGGAGAACTGTGCTTCAGTAAGACATCCATCTCTGCATCATTGAAGGCATGACAGAGTCACATTCAACTCTTGGGTCCTCTCACTATTAAAGATCTGGGAAACAAAAATGGCTCTGTTGATCTTGGAAGAGCAAGGTCAGCCTTGGCAACAGCTGTGTGTTGTTTACTCATATGAAGTTTACTTCAGCAAAATGTGAAGAGTTACTGAAACAAAAAATAGAAGCATTTGAAGGGTCCACACAGCATGTCTTACTCAGATAGCTCTGGGTCCCTCACAGCAGACTTGCCCATGTCACTGCCTCCAGCAAAATCCACCAGGGACTTTGCAATCCTAATGTACAACAGCAAGAAAGAGCAACCTACTGCACTTCCTGACAGCTCCAAGTTTATATCCTAAATTATAGCTTGTTTTGTAAGCAAAGCATGGGTTCCCTGCCTGTCTCACCCTTGTGGGGTCACATATAAGTGATAGAGCTGCATTTCTGTCTTTATTCTCTGTTCAGATATCATAGAAACATGTTATCTGCAGCTTCCACAGAAAACAGTGTTTTGTTTCCATCAGTTTGCTGAACTGGCAGGAAAATTCTCAACTCAGATCTTTTCTTCCTACAGTTGATTCCTCAGATTTCCTCGCTGTCCTGGTTTACAACGGTGGTGCCCCTAGTGCTGGTGCTGGCTGTATCAGGAGTCAAGGATGCCATCGATGATTTTGTAAGATCTGTATTGCTGACCTATACTTTGGAGTTTGCCCGTAATTCTTCATCACAATGACTAAAGCAAACCACTTAAAATAAACACAGCCAGTGGCAGGCAGTTGGAGAACAGGTCTGTGGCCAAGATGTGGTCTGAGATTAGATCCCTGAATCTATGGTTCATTACCTAAAAAGGAGCTAGAATTTCCAAATCACTGGGCAGCCCAGCAGCTCCATTGGCTTTCTCTGAAACTGCCCAGCATGTCTAAAAATTTGGTCACCGATAGATATGTCTGGATGCATGCACAGAAGTCTATTCTTAGGCTTCCACTTTGGAGAACTCATCCTCTGCCATCTAGCTGTAATGTGGGCAGAAAAAACATTTGGTAGGAAGTAAGTATACAAACTGTGTGTGATTTTTCAAACTTGCACAGCTTTGGCCAAAGTCTGCTTCCATCAGAAGTAATGGTCAAAGTCCCATTGACTTCATGGGGTGACATTAGACCTGAGTTTAGCATCTGATTTTCTCTTGTTAAATAATTTTGATACTCTATGGAGACTCAGTCTAACTTTGCAAGTAGGCAGGTGAGAGGTGGCAAGGTCTCTCCCGGGGAGCAATGTCAGAATATCTGTGGCCAATTCCCATATCAGAACAAAGGAATGGATTTCTCTGGGTGCTTAGCTTACAAAACTGTGACATGCAGGTCCAACACCAGTTGAGTCAGGACTGTGCTAAGTGATGTATAAGGCTCTACCCTCCTTCCTCCCTCCAAGAGCAAGCTCAATGTTGCCTGTTGCTCTTTGTAGTCCAGTTATGCCCTATGTTACAAGTATAAACATGGGCTCGACTATGACTCAGTCTTGACTCTAACCTGCCTGACCCATTCAGCCAGCTGGGTGAAAACCTAAAATATTAATGAACTGCCTACAGCTCTTGTGCACTGGTTTTCCTGGAAATGCCTTTTAACATACTGATCAAATTTTCAGAATCGACACAAAAGTGACAAACATGTCAACAACCGCCCAGTCCAGGTCCTGATCAATGGCATGTAAGTCCTTTTTCTTTTGCTGTAATTTTGAATGGGAAGAGCACTTTATTAATAATAATTTTATTCTGTGTGATTCCCAAAGGTCACTAAACAATTTAAAATTGAATTGTCTTCCACACCATTAGTTCACCGTGCAGTTCTGGACTATGTGTCTGATTGATGAACCCAAGCAGAGTACCACAGTCAGTGCAGACATTATGGCTGTGACTTTGCACTGACAAAAAGTAAACATTTTCTGTTCCTGGGTGTATATATATATTTAAATAAGTGATAGTTTGAGAGTATTGTATTATTTTACTCCTTACCCTAGAAGTGACAAGCAAGGCTGTCTTCCCATGTCCGTTTATGTTCATAGCATTTATTTCTGCATGAAGAAAAAGCTAGGCATTATCCCCAAGTCATTTTAAATTAAGAAGCAAGAACAGCTTCCTCATACACGTCATAATACTTTGAGTGTGTGTAGTGCTTCTGACTTAGATGTACTCAAAACATTTCAGCTGTGTGCTTTGGACATTGTACTGCTAGCACTGTTCTTTCCTGCAGAAAAAATAGCAGAGGCCTTGGCTTTTGTGGCAGACAGATGTGCTGTTTACTTGTGGCTCCATGGAGTCCAACTATGCGTAGGACACAGCTGTAGACAGCTGTGAAGTCTCTGGTGACTTTTTTTTTCCATACTATAGATAGCAGTATGTTGTGTAAACTCCAACAAATGATCAAACAGTTAAAAATATGACTGGAAACTGAAGAATAGGAACATACTTTTTGTTCTTTCTCCTAAGTAAACCAGTTTCTTAGTGTACTGTGTATTAGTTACTGTGTCTAGGAAACATACATTGAAACAGAAATTTTTTGGTATTTTGCCTTTGTTCAAAAACTGGAAACCATAGGTCCTGCCCAACTCTAACCAACACCGAAAAAGCAAGGCTGAGCTGAACTCAGGCTTGAATACCCAGTCCTGTTTTGATATAGCTCTTGATATTTCTCACTTCTAGATTTTGCGTATACAGCTACTGTGACTGGTTACGTTGGCGCTTCCAGTTTAGCTGACTGTCTGCATGCGCATCTTGCTTAGTGCTGTGGAGGCCACTGCAGACATGGGCTTAGCTAGGCACAGGCACAGCCAAAGCACCTGCATTGACCTTCCTGACAGCCAGGCCCGCACAGAGCCAGATCTGTTGCTCTGGCCCTTAATGTCACTTAGAAAAACTAACAACACAACTGATTTTCCCAGGTGTTTGGGAAGTGTGTTACAAAAAGTAGAGGGTTTTTTCTGAGACAGTGTGGCCCTTTAGGAGAAAGAAGGGAGTAGTCAGTCCAGACAGAAGGACAGTGCACACGGACTGTGCTGCTATTGTGGGGATTGGTCTCAACCCTGCACAGGTCACACCAACCACTGTTACCGATTTTTTGTATTGCGGTGGTCCCTTAGCTTACTATTGATCAAGCCACATCGTGGCAGACACTGCTCCGTCTTATCAACAGCCCAAGTCCTGATGGCACCTACAGCTTGGCTTCAGGAGCAGAGCTGAGTATCCTACCTTCCCAAGTGGTGTTTGCTTTATGTACCTAATTACTAGGAGTCTTCTTGCAGGTTAAAGGATGAAAAATGGATGAATGTCCAAGTGGGGGATATAATAAAACTAGAAAACAACAACTTTGTGACGGTGAGTACAGTTTCTCTCCATCCTGCTCATAGTTACTCTCTGTTATTACTCTTATCACTCACAAGCGAATGAGTCAGTAATGATGATAACTGCCTCAGAGACCTGCAGTGTGCAGAAACCACAAATAGCATTGCAGTGCCGTGCCCTCTGACCGTGTGAACTCATGCCAAGTCTGTCTGTCTGTGTTCAGGCCGATCTACTGTTACTGTCGAGCAGCGAGCCTCACAGCCTGACGTACATCGAGACAGCTGAACTGGATGGGTAAGTAAGGCAGGCCCTTGGGTGCAATCTCTGCTGCCAGTGCAAGGCCAAATCTTCTCTGGTGACCCTAGGTGCTGCAACCTTACCTGCAATAGCTTTTGTTGCAAGAGTTTCCTAATACATAGAATAAATTTTGGGTAGGTATCTTGAAAATAAAGTCTTCTGGTGGATACTTTTGCCTCTTTCAGTGGAAATGTCATGTGAGGAGGGAACTTTTATTTTTAGTGACAGTTCTTATAACACTGAGAGTTAGTTTGAAATGTGTTCTTGCACTATCCCAGGTCACCGGCAGAAGCTTTCTGTTTCTTCTGTCTCTCTTAGTCTTTTCTCTTAGCCAGTTTATCTGGGTGAGGTAATCACGATTAATAACTCCAGAAGTCTCCCTTGGACTGCTATACCACAATATTAATGCATGCACACTGCAAAGGCTTCCAAATGTTGCTCACTCCAGGGCACAACTGACCACAAGTCAGAGGGCTGCAACTAATTTGTATTAATTGGAATAAACTGGATCCAACCTCATCTTTATGGCACAATTTGCACTACCTTTTCTACATTGCCTGGAGGTAGCATCAGCTTGAAGGACTAAGCAAGACCAGAGAGATCAAGAAATTGTGTCTTTCCCGGTACCCTACAGACAGCTCTCTGGAGTTTCCCTATCCGATTTCTGCTGAAAATGAGCTTGTAGTTCCTGTACATGCAAGTGCCAGGAGGCTCTAAACAAATGCAGTGTTTCTTTGACATTGCATTTCAAACTCCCCAGGTAGCTAGACCCAGGACTTCAGTACTCTTCAGGACTAGAATACCATGGGAGAAGACCCAGAGTGCTCCTATATGCTCAGGTACCTTAAGGTTCAGTGTGGTATGAATAGCAGGATAGACAGCAAGCTGCTTAGGGAGCTGAGATGCCTAGTCTTGCACTTTGTAGTGAAAATGAGAAGACAGAGCCACCTCACTCTCTTTGGTATCATGGTACCATGTCCAGAATTCCTCTGGCTTGCCTGTCTTTGCAACTGAAAGAGACAACTACACCCTTTGGCCAGGTAAAAAAGGCCAATGGTGGCATGGTCCATCAGATGTTTAAGGAAGAAGACTGTCCTCCAGAACAGAAGTTACTTTCGGGGAGAGCTTTCAGTTCACGTAGGACTTTTAGTCCATGTTTTTGTCTCATGTTATTTGTTACAGTGAAACAAACCTGAAAGTGAAGCAGGCTTTGACAGTCACTGCAGAGCTTGGAGAAGATCTTCAGAAACTGACAGAGTTCAATGGTGAGTCTACACGGAAAATTCACTTTCCAGAGGATTTGCCCAAACACCAGAGTCCAGAGAGTGCCTGGGAGTCTTCCTTCCAGGCTGTCCCCTGCTCCCTGCTAAGAGTCCTCTGGGTGCAGCGGCGGGAGAACACAATGGGCACATTGCAGTCTGTACAACTGATATAAACAGCATACACAGAGAAAGAGATCCCCCTTCACTTGCAGCTCTTGGTGCCATGCATGGCTATAATCTGAAACTGCATTGGTGGGAATTCTCCTTCTGGCTGCACACTTTTCTTTAGCATTTGTCTGTATATGTTGAGATTACCCACCTTGAACTTCAACACAAGAGTTTGTGTAATTGCCCAGTGGAAACTTTTTTCCCAAAACTGCATGCTTAGTTCTGATCTCAATATATTTTCACACTGCACTTTTACATTGATGCAAGCAATGTTGATGTGTCGATTACATTTAGCTTCTGAGCAGAGGCACTTTCCAGACACGATGCAAACCAGAGGACTAACTGTGCACACAGGACAGGTGGCTACTTCACAGACTGAAGCCTTGCCCTGCCAGCATTTCCCTCCTCTCTCAGTGCCACAATAAACACTACATTTTAAGATATTTAAAGGCAAGCAGTGCAGATGTGGTTAACAGGCAATGTGTCCTTTCTTAGCACTGTTTTGTATATCAAATATAGAATAGAATAGAATAGAATAGAATAGAATAGAATAGACTATTTCAGTTGGAAGGCACCTACAATGGTCATCTAGTCCAACTGCCTGACCACTTCAGGGCTGACCAAAAGTTAAAGCACGTTATTAAGGGCATTGTCCAAATGCCTCTTTAACACTGACAGGCTTGGGACATCGACCACCTCTCTGGGAAGCCTGTTCCAGTGCTTGACCACCCTCTCAGTAAAGAAAATGCTTCCTCATGTACAGTCTGAACTGCCCCTGGAGCAGCTTTGAACCATTCCCACACATCCTGTCACTGGATACCAGGGAATATATAGCAGCACATACACAGAAAGGAGCCAGACCTGTCAAAACCATACTACTCCATGCTCACACATCATCTGTCTGCAGAGAGAGGATGGAGGAACAGACCAAGTGGTGTTAGTCACGTTCAGCAGTGACCTGCTGGCTGAAGTGTGAGGGCAGGATTACGGGAAGGTCGATATGGAAAGGGGTGGAGTGAGTGCTGCTGTCCTTGGAATGTCTCAAGGACTGCAGGCTCTCAGCAATTATTTTTAGAAAAAGAGGAAAAACAATTTTTTAAAAATTCTCTTTGAAATAACTAGATGATTCCAGGACAAATGGTGGGGACGTGGCAGAGAGTTAGCATAGCTGGAACTGTCTCTGGTAGAGTCATCCAAAGGCATGGGCTTTGCTTTTGCTTTCTACATAGAGGTTTTATGAAATAATGTGTGTGGTCTCAGCTGAGTGTCAGCTCAGTATATCAGGATTTCTCTGAAATGTTGGCTGAGGTTCTGAGTGTTTTAGGTCTTGGGAAGTATGTTTTTACAGGTGCAGTTAGATGCTTTATGTTAATAGTCAGAGTGGCGTGCCTTAATTATTCTCCTGAAGAGGCTGCAGTGTGTATCAATTTGTAAGCAAAATGTTAATCTTAAATAATTTTTCAAGGATTTTCTGTGTAATGCTTATCTGAGGATACTGCATTCTTGAAACTCCATAATTAAAAAGAAGTCTCAAAAGATTTTAGAAAATTAAAACTTTTTTTTATCAAATATTTATTTGTCCTTTAAATCTCTATTTTAGTTATATTGTAAATAAAAGTGGCCTCTTCGCAATACTTACTTAAAATGAATAAAATGTTTCCCAGGATGATTTATATTTGGCAGAGTACTGGAAGAGTGCCTAGAATCAGACCCAACCTTGCATTTCCCCAGTAAACCACTGTAGAAGTATTTAAATATTTATGTAACTCTTTATCTAATTACTTCTTAAGACAGGAAGAGAGGAAAGGGTTGAGCAGCTAATACAGGCACCCAGTGGAATGCTTAATGTGAGTTATGATGTTTGTTGACATCGCAATGGTTCAGATAAGGAAGATACTTGCAAAATGCTGAACTTCTTTATTTGATTTGGGAAACAGAGAGATGAGAAAGGAAACAATACTTTTCAGTTACCTACTACTTATCACATGTAGACTTGGCAGTATTTAACTCTTTCAGGTGAAATGCGTTCAGGTATCATCTTGATGTTAATGGGAGGGAGAGAGAGAAGGCATGGTGCCTTGCTGAGGTATCTTCAGCTGCAGAGTTACTGGGGTCAGTGCAGGTATATTGGGTGAATCTCTAGAGCTTCTCACTTTTTTTGTGATCGTTCTAATTCGGTTGAATCTCTTCTGTTCTCAAAATCAGCATATCAGTAACCCAGACCCACCTGCTCACTGGAAAGCAGAGGTGGATGTTGACACACAAGTACTCACACAAGCATCGTCCCACAACTGGCATGAGGAGAGGCACAGTCTTCCTGGTGGGGGATCATGCCCTGGGTTTGGTTCACCAGAGTCTCATTGTGCTGTGTTTCAGGTTGCACTGCAAAGCCTCTGTTTTCTTTGTACTCTTCAAGGGGTTGCAAGGGCTGCATTGAGACGGGTCTGGTTACTGTAGACTTTTAGAAATGATGGAGTACAGGTCTAATTGTTCTTGGATTGCCTAGACGATAGAATAGAAGATCAGCATAGTTGTTAGTATGAGCTCTGATGTCACATATGTCACAGAATTTCCTAATCTCTTTATCTTTCAAGTCTGATGATTTGTCTGCCCTAGAGTAGAGCTACTTTTCTATGAAAAGAACATCCATTCTTGATCTTAAAATTTGCAGTGGCGGAGACTACCACAATACTTGAAGTTGTACTTTTCTTCTGGACTTCCCTGGATTTTGTTTCCAGTCTCTTGAGCCTGGTGTGTTTTGTCTGAGAACAGCTGGAAGAGCTGTATTCTCTGCAAATGCTAGTCCTTATGTACATATTTGCAGCCTGCGATCAAAATAACTGTAATGTTCCTGCTGATTAACTGAACAGACTGAACTCTTGCATTCCCTTTCAGTAAGGAGTATTTGTACTTTCCAGTTCTTTTCAATACATGCACAGCGCTCTGCTTAGAATCTTTAGATGTCAGGTGCAAAAGGTGATTTAAATAATCATTTTTATACCAAAGTATCTGTGTTTACAGTTTTGTGTGAATATGTTTTATTACAAGAAATAAATATAAAGCATCAAAATAGAAGCAGGCTCTCCAATCACTTACAGTGTCAGCTGCTTGGCCAAAGAAGGTAGCACTATCTTTTTTCACATGCCACTGGACTTCAGTTATAAAACAGATTAAATTAAAACACAGTGAACAAAGACACCTCACTTAATTACTCTTTTGCAGCCTTCAGGCTATGATTTTTCTCGCTTGGGCTCCTGCAGTTTTAAAGAAAATGGAATAGGGATTATGTGAGGTCAGCACTTTAGCTAAAAGTTATCCAGTGACATCCTACCACTATGAACCTGCTGTGAAAGGATTAAAAGTAAGTTGCTGGTTCCACATTTCTTCTCACCCACATAAAAGTTGTGGAAACTTTGTTTTATACTCTACCAGCAAAAAATTGCCATGTTCAAAGAATAGGATAAATCCAAGTTCATTGTAGTTCATTGGATTATGACACAAATATGAGGAAGGAGCAATACGCTAAACCATGAGTAAATATAGGATACAGGATGGGAACGACGGGGTCAGGAGCGGACTGCAGCTACAGTGTGAAATATCCCCTGTCTGGGGAACAGCTGAGAATGCAGGATTGACTGACATCTTTCTGGGCCAAGATTTCCATTTTTGTTTTTACCTTCCTTTTACAGGTGAAGTCAAATGTGAGGCACCAAATAACAAACTAGATAAGTTCACAGGAACTCTTACTCTTCGAGGAGAGAAGTATGCCCTGGACAATGAGAAGATGTTGCTGAGGGGCTGTACTATTAGGAACACAGAATGGTGCTTTGGTCTCGTTATTTATGCCGGTAGGTAGAAAAATTGACATGTTAATTGCAGAGCGCAGCAGCACTAGCACGGAAGTACATTACACCCAGTATGCACAAAGGAACCAAGTATTTTCCTCTTTGGAAAATATGTTTCTACCAGGTACAAGAACAAAAGCAAAACAATGCATGAGATCCCTTGGCTTAACTCTAGGCTAGAAATTATGCATATTACAGGAGATTTTAATCTGAGATTTTTATAGTGGTCTATGAGAGAAAACTGGATTGCAAATGCTACCTTACAACATCCAATTTCATCTTGATTGAGTGCTTTAGTAAGCAGAAGTAGTCTTTTATTTCAGAAATGTATGCAGCAAAGTACATAGGAGAAGTCTTGACCAATCAATAAGAAAGCATAGAAGAATTAAATCTGTTTAAGGTTTTACATTAAAGCTGAATTAAGTCTGCCTTTACTGGCCCACACTGGGCCAACTGGAGTCTTTCTCTCACCAGGCTTGTTCAAAATTTTTCACTCTTAAGTGTATTTGATTAAAAATTCTGCATCGTTTCTATGTCATTTTAATCCATATTGGAATATCAGACTCATCAATAATATTATTGTAGACCATTAGATCTACACTTTTTGTGAGCATAGACCTTCTATTGTTTCTATACTGCTGTAGACATGTGAGATGATGTATAACATGTCACCAATAACACAGCAGTATCGGGTCTTCTGTGAAAAGTAATTAAACCTGAAAGGGAGGATTGACTGTTGAAAGAAGAGACCAGGGTCAAAATCCAAAATTAATGGCTTTATGTGACTCTCTCCATATAGTCTAAGGCAATGACTTAACCTTTTTCTGGCTAAGTTTCCCACCAGCACTGTAAACTGTATGTACCTGCTTTCAAGAAAGCTATGATGGGTATTTATGCTGTAAAGCACAGTGGGGCCTCAGAGGGAATCAGCTTTAGAACAGCTAAGCTTTATTACTGAAATTCACAACTGTGTTTAATCTCCAGGGCCAGACACCAAACTAATGCAGAACAGTGGAAAAACAACTTTTAAACGGACGAGCATTGATCGGCTCATGAATGTCCTTGTGTTGGTGGTAAGTCTCATTAATGTGTCTTCATTTCTTCAGATGTATTAATCATTTCCAGATGCTCCACCTCTTTGTCCAACACAAATGAGAGAATATCAGAAGTGACTAATGATAAAAAGAAGAATTATGTAATAATTTATTAGCAGCCTGAATTCCGCAGTGCCTCTGCCAGCCCTTCTTGCAAAGCAAGACCATTACATTGACAGCATTAAGGACCTTTCTTCTGAGCTTTTCATTTGCTTTGCTCTCCCTTGCTTTGCATTTTTTTTTGTGAGAATCACTCTGAAGCCTACAAATGCTTTTTTCCCTAGTAATTTTGTCATTTTCCATTTAAATAAACATTAGCAGTTCTCCCTCTTCCTCCTGATTTCTTGGCATCTCTGGTAATATCTGCATAGGACTTGGTAATTGAGTTTGTTAATTTACATGATGCCAGCTTCTGACTTAACACATTAGGATAAATGTTAGACATGGTCTCATTAATACTCAGAAACTGGTGTTTTTAGCAGCTGGGAAATTTGAGAACACTAATCTTACATAGCAGACACTCTCCTCAAATAAGAAAACAGATCTGATTTGAGGTTAAAGCTTGTCAGTGATTTTAACAAATGGCAAACACTTCCAGGCAGAGGTAGTGATTCTTTTATGGAGACTCTCCCAGGTTTTTTTGAGTTCAAAGCTGCTCAGGGAATGAAGACATACACTCTAACACTGCTTTACTCAATGTTGCTTGAAGAGAAGCTCTTAAGTTTTAGGCTTTTATTTTCCTTTGGGTGCAAGTTTTTCATGCTTTTTCATGCATGCTGCACGACCTTCAGTTTATGACGCTGGGAAGGTCTGGTGGCCACTGTTCCCTCTTCTTCCCTCCAGCCCTTGCTCTCCAGCCCAACCTGCCAGCCAGGCTGGGACCAGGATCCAACATCAAGTGCTGGAGCAAGCCCTGGGGAAGACAAAGCTCGAGATGTCTGACAGCAGCCTGCCCACCACAGCAAGGCTGCCCTGAGCTCTCGCTGCCCTGTGTGACTTCATGTCTCCTCAGCGCTGGGGCTTATAGCACAAACATCTCCAAGACGGCCTCGCTCCCCAACCTTGCCACTTCATCCCAGCCCCTGCCCTCCTGCTTTTTTTCTCAGGATCCCAAAAGCTCTTTAAGTGGGCTCATGGATGGGAGTTGTTACAGAGCAAGCTGTGCCTCTGTGAGACTGAAGTAGTGCCAAAGCAGCAGCGCGGTTATCCTGACTGCCAGAGCTGTGAAGCAGTGTCCTGAATATCTGTGTACACATATTTGCTGTAAAGCAGGGCCACAGCACAGAGAGACACTCCAGAGTCATCTTCAAGCCCTCTTGAGTCCTTGCTCCATGTACAGTAAGAACACAGCCTTGACTGTAGTAACATTACACCAATCTCTGCCAAGTGAAAATCTTGATTACCATCATCAACTTGTTTTCCTCAGTGTTTTCTTCCCTCGCACTTAAGGGGACAGCAAAATCAAGCAAGGTTTGGGCCTCTTACATTCAAAAATTTGCAAGTATTTGAAAAAAATCACATTTTCTTAGGTGTTCTGCTATGTTTTAGCTGGAAAGGAGGATGGGCTGTGCAGTAGGGCTGTGAGGGATCCACAGGGCACAGAAACAGAGCAGACTAAAACTGAATAGGTAGCTTGGAATTTAGCATTTGATTAAGGTTTGCCAAATCTCCTTTCAAAAGTCAAGGGTCCCACCCAGTGGTTTCAGTCTGTTTGGCCTCTCTTCATGAATGCAAACAAGATGAATTTACCTCCTGGCTCCATTTTAAAAAGCTGAGCAAGTTGCAGTTGATTGTATCAGCCTCTGCCTGGGTTCTTGGGTGCTGGTGGAGCCAAGGGTGTGTTTTTCTCCTTCACACATTTTTAAGGCACCTAACATTTTAGTGTCTAAGTAAAGCTCTGTCCTACCCTAAGCACCAGGCTCTTTGCACACAAGAGGGATGTGGCATCAGGTCCTTCCAGCTCACTGGGTGGTTGAAGGTTACAATGCGCAGTCATAAAAAGAGGCAGTATATTGTGCTCTTGAGTTTGGAAATACAAAGCAGCCACAGCTTGCTATAAATAGGTCATTTTAAGTGTAATGAAACTTGTTCCATGTTAACACTGGCAAAGCTATTTCATGTTTAATTGTCCATAAAACTTCCAGGCACAAAGCAGTGTTTAAGCAGAGTTTGCCAAAGGAGTCCTGGTTAAATGTTGCCCTGGTCTGTCCCAACAAGGGTTAATCAGGAGTGAAGCTTTCCAGATGGCAACCATAACTGTTTTTTCATGTTTGGGAGTGTTTCTCGGCAACCTGAGAGAGAAGTGAATGTTCCTCCACCAGGGACGCACCTGCCAGCTCCAGGAATGCATTTTCCTCCAAAACTTGCTTTTTAACAGGTTTGGGGAAGCATTTTTTTCAGAGGAATAGGGCCGTCACTTTCATCTCTTTTTTTCAGAGAAATAGGGCTGTCACTTTCATCTCTTAAACAAGCTACTGCTTCAAATCCTGGAGCAGAACTCAAAGTGCCAATACAGAAACCGAGACAGTTTGAATTCACAGTCCCACAGGAAATGTTTGTCAAAAGTCACCTCCTCTTTACAAAAATCCTACTCAGTCCTGCAGAGGATCTTTTGCAGCCAGTGCATGGGCAAGACCCAGAAAGGGAGGATGTTCACGCTAAGAAGCCCCATGAGCATCCACAAGCCTACAATCAGGGTTTTTTCACATCCTTCTCTTGCAGAGCTGTGGTTATGATTACCACACCCTGCATACAGTTGTTTCTCCACACAGAAATTAATCTCTGGGGCCACTGTTAACATCTCAGTCATTTGCATTTGTGTCGAAGTGAACAGCATGTTAGTGAACTTTGTGTAAGCACAAGTATTGCACACAAGTTGAGCTGTTAGGGATGAGAGAGTTGACATGCCAAATGCACATAAAGTAAAATGTACGTAAAACAAGTGCAGTTGTAGACAAGAGCTGATGTGACACGGGTAAGTCCAGCTGCTGCCTTGCTCCATGGGCATTTCTGTTGCTGAATCACACATTGAATTTCCTACATGGATTGTGATATTGTACAAACTGACAATTCTTAACCTGTGAGGAAAACTAATTAATTTCTTTTTGCAACAGTCAAGGTCTGCAGAGAGAAGTAGTATCTTTTACTTGACCAACAGAAATATCTATAAAAATAGACAGGCTTGTCTATTTTCTCAATCTATGTCTATTGGTTTCATAAGGGACATTACCTGTCACTGGGTCATGCCTCTCATATATCCTTAAGTCCTGATGATTACAACAGCACAAACTGAAGTCTGTTTTTACCGCTGGTCACAGAGGCTTAAAAACACTGCGCCACATTCCTTACCAGCAAGCAAAATGGTCCCCATTTCACAAGTGGAGTAATTTATTGGGCCTCCCACAATTAAACAGAAAGCTACTACTGATGTGGGAAATAAATATGTCCCCTGAAACTCAGTCCAGCACCTTTACTTACTGCAGTACCCTTTTAGCAGCTTCTTGGTATTAAAACTCAAGTTGGTCAGATGTGAACTTTTCACCAAGTGATTTAAATCACTCCAAAAAAATGTCCTTCTTCCTCTCATAGAGTACCTCAGCAATACAAGTATCAGCTTTATCAGCAATGTTTCAATGTTTGTACCTCAATTATTGTTTTTTAAAAAGGTTGATTACTGTTTTCATGTGATGATTGTTACTGGGTGGCCTTACACATAATGGCCCAACTTACTGATATTTGCTCCCTAATGATTATACTTGCAAAAGATTATTTTTACTTGCTCTGTTGTGCAGCCTGCTGTTTCTGTATTTTCACATTTTTTATTAGGACGTTGGTTGTTTTAAGTCAAATGTTTGAAGAAGTCTGTATCAACAGAACTGGTTTTATTAATCATTTGTCCAGGAAGGATGTCAAGCTGACTTCAGTTTATCTTTCCCACGATCACCATTTCTACCTTTCAAATATTGGAATTATGTTAGCAGATTTTCAGGGTGGTGGTGCTTCCCAGCTTTCAAAGCATTGTTAAAAATTAACCTTACTTATTAGAGAATTTCTCAGCTAGTCCCTCTAAGCTTTCATCTTTAAATTACCTGGACCCACTGGATTGAAAATGCTTATTATTAGCAGATAGAGCCACATAGTATTCCTTGTCACAGAACATAATCTGTATTTTCCATCTGCTATGTCATACGGGATAGAAACTTCCTTCTGCTTTCTTCCTCGTTCATTCTTAGAGGGCTGTCGCTTGAACATGTCTGCTTTTCTCACACCTGTTCATGAGTTTACTCTTTTCTTTTTTTGATATTTTATAAGACTATTAGATACTCATAGTTCCATAATTCGCTGCAGTTTATAATAATTTCTGTTAACTTCCCTTCTTCCCCTTCTTTTTGTATTATTTTCCAAATAATTGTATTGCTATGTTCTTGTCTTCTTTTAATCAGGAATGCTTTATGACCTATGTAATGGTTTTGTGTCTATTAAATGGTGTTCCTGAGCAAGTCCCAGTTTTCACTAAGGTGTCCCACTTTGAAATTCCCTTCCCAGTTGCTCTTCCCCTGGTTGCTTTAGGCCTTCAGGAAATAGGCTTCTCTAACGTCCAAGGATACACATCACTGGTTAGTGTTGCCTTCTGTTTACTCAAAGGAAATGTAACCAGATTGTGATGGCAGGTACCAAGGCAACCATTAGTTCTGAGTCAGTGATTAACTCTCCTTTAACCATCAGAATGATATCCAGTGCTGAATTCCAACCTGCACAGTGCTGGATTTTCTGTATTAGAAATTATATTTAGTAGTTTTTCAGAAATGGCGAGGAAAACTATGATGCACCCAGCAAACAGCCAGGTAAAGTCCTCCACGCAGTTTCTATTCCCAAGTGTGCAGCCAGATGTTTGAGGACCCGCAGCTCAACTCACCTCTAATGAGATTTGATGTTCTGCAGCCAGCTGCCCATGAACACCCTGGTTTAGGTGTCTGGTTGGGACTTAAATCCCCAGCTGTTTGAGGTCTTGTGATTCCAAATCGCCAGACTCTGCACTGTGTAATTTTGTCCTTGACGTAAAAGTGTCATAACTTTGTTGTTTTTCCTCCTTTATCCCTAGGAACATTTTCATGTGATTCATGCTGTCCAACCCAAGCTTATTAGGGTCTTCTGATTAACCTGTACATAATAAAATCTTTGTTTCTAAAATGCAATATTTTGGGGTTTTTTTGCAGATCTTTGCATTTTTAGCACTGATGTGTCTTATCCTAGCCATTGGCAATGGCATCTGGGAGTATGATAAGGGCTACTACTTCCAGGTCTATCTGCCCTGGGCAGAAGGTGTCAACTCTGCCTCCTACTCCGGCTTCCTCATGTTCTGGTCATACGTGATCATTCTAAACACGGTGGTGCCAATTTCGCTCTACGTCAGGTATGTGCCAGAACCTACTTTCATGTTTCATCTTAGGAGAGGTTTAGCTCTTGCCTTAGCTGGGAGCAGCATCCTCCCTGGACATAAATGCAACTCCATTGTGGACAATCGCTCATAACCACAGCGATGCTTTTCTTGTTTCCGCTGCCTTTGGAGGTGAGGTTTGGAGCAGGGACAGCAGTGAGCCCTGGAAGGGGAGAGGATGATTTTGCAGTTAAAGGGGAGGTGCAGGTGTCGGATACTATAGGAGTAAGGCTGGAAGCCTGCTACAATTACCGTCTTGCTCTCTCCCACTTGCACTGCCCATCAAACAAAGTGAATGTCATGTTCTTTGAAGTTGCTGTAGGGCTCATGTGAGGAGTGGTTTGCCAGGTAAGTAAGTGCATTCAGGTTGAGGATCCACAGTACTTGGTACTATATGAGCAGAGTGAATGTCTCCACCTCCCAGAGAACTTAGTGCTATGTTGGTTATTGGAGAGAGGTAAGCAGGGGTAAAGAGTAGGCAATGCATCCGTGACACTCTCAAAACCTCGAGGTTGGGGTGTAGACTGTATAGTTTATCATTGCACCTAACCCTTCAAACAGCTTTGCTACTGAGACTCTCTTTCATGTTGATAAATATGAGGAATTAATCCCGTTCCTGTCTAGTATGTCACACCAGCAGCAAAGCGGAAATTCATGTCATCTGCAAACTGATACGGCTCCTTGGTTATATTGAGTTACACAATGACTTGCTTGTTGTGGAGCTGTGGGTTGTTTGAGCCGTGGCTGCACTCATCCCCTGGCACGGGGCTCAGCCCAGCCCAGAGCCCTGCTGGAAACTGTACCCATCCCGAAACTGCACCAAGTGAAACCCACTGCTCTTGCCTTGCTTTTCAGTCTGAAAAAACTTTTCACATACATTTATAAGATGTTGTTTTATAAATAAAATAAAGGAATTTACTATAAGCCTAACAGATTGTTTCAGTGGGACCTGCTTCAGCACTGTTTGCTACAGGCCATTTAAGGACAACCTGATGAGTACACCCTGTCATTACCTTCCAAGTTGTCTTCTAATTGCAATTGCTAATGGTGGTGCTGAAGATAAAGATCTTGTCCCTTACACTAATGAATATTCCATCACCTCCTTCTTCTGTTTCACCAGTGTAGAGATTATACGCTTGGGTAACAGTTTCTACATTGACTGGGACCGTAAAATGTATTATCCGCTGAATGACACGCCGGCTCAGGCCCGTACCACTACGCTCAATGAAGAGCTGGGGCAGATCAAGTACATCTTCTCAGACAAAACAGGAACTCTCACTCAGAACATCATGTGTTTCAACAAGTGCTCCATCAACGGCAAATCCTACGGTATGTTATCTATTTGTCTTACTCTCTGAGTTTTATTCCATTGTATGCCTCTTGATCCAGAGACACTAAAAGTGATATCCAAAAGAGAGTGTCTTCTAAGAAGCTCCAGTGATGAAGCACAGGGCTGCCCGTCAGGGATGCCTGGACAGCCCTGATTACATCATTTGCATATCTTTATATCTTTTTTCCTGTCCCTTGTTTCCCCTTTTTGCCACCCTTTTACTTCCATTTTTCTGCCCCAGTATCATCTCAGCTAAAGAACCTGCACCTTATTACTTTTTCCTCATTGGTCCCTGTGTTCCTACATCTGTACTGAAATTTGTTTTTTTTCTGATATCACTACCTAGGTAACCTCAGCCTTTTATGGTATTATTGACATGGTCACGCAGGTATTGCCAGCCCTGCAAAACTTAACACATAACTCACATAACTAACTCCCTCTTAACCACTTGTGGTTAAGAGCCATCCCTCATGGGGTTATCTGCAAATTTTGTCAGCTTCTCACACTGTTATCTCTCACGTTCAGCAATTTCTCATGTCATGAGCAGCAGTTTTCCACATCCTGTTCAGGTAGCTGAACCTTCAGTTGGCACCTAGTCAATGGTCTGGTCATTTGTCTTTAGCCCTGACTTACTTCACCTACCAGAAAAGTTTGTAGGGAGTTGGAAAAAACGGGAAACAAAAGTTGTTAGCTCTGATAGATCCTATCAGAGGATACATTGTGTGGCCCCGGGCAGTTTTCTTCATACTGCTCAAGAGGTACTAACAATTCACAAACTGACTAATTGATTAACATCATTAGATTACCCCAGAGAAATTAGTCACCACTTATTTGTAGGTCGATGATTGTTTTGCCTGTGTCAGACCAGCTGATGGACTAGTGTGACAAAAAGCTTGTCTTTTTTTCTCAGTGCTATCAGCTGGTCTAATAAAAGAAGTTATTTCTTCCTACAACTCTTGTTTGGTGTACATTTGGAGACCACCATATCTCAAACAGCGCTACTGTGCTAGCCAATGTTAGTGCTGCTAAACAGTTTAAAAAATACTCAGTCTGTTCATTCATGTGTCCTTAGTTGATTTTTCCAAAGTGGATGTCACCACTAACACAGATATAGGGTGTGGGTTCAAGAAAAGAATGGAAAATATGTGGGAAGAAGGTGGACAGTCTGTTGCCTATAGTTTTCTAAATGCTTAGCTTCTTCCTAGGAATGTACTTCTTTGGATTTGCCAGAAAGGATGAAATAGTTTTGCTGCCAGGGAACGTACTCCAGAGGTTTAAGCTTCCAATTGAGAAGGAGATGTCCAAAAGCTGGGGGTTGCAGTTCCCAGGGGATCAACTGATGTGCAGTTGTCAGGAGAGATGACTTCTGAGTTTCTTCTACACCCTCAGGGCTTTTGTGAGGGAATACCACTACCTACAATTGACTTTGTTCACAACTGAGGTTGCTGGTGCAGGTGTGGATCTATCATTCATGTAATTCACCGTATTTCAATCTTATTTCAAGTGTTGAATCTGGCTGGGCTGGGCACAGTCCAAACCTTCCAAGTGAAATTTTTATTCAGGTAGAAAAAGTTTCAATAGTGTTTCCTGGAGATGAGATGTCTTCCACTTCTGTGACGAGATCATCAGTTCAGGAAAAATGAATAGAGCAGCCTTGCTACCTAGAGGTGGGAAGAATGGGCTTTAACAACTCCTTCCCTGTAGTTGTCCAGGGCCTGTTGCAAATCCAATACGATCCAGGAGCTGGATTTTATCTCACATTCCAAAGGGAAGGTACAAGAGAAGTATCCTCTGAAAGCACCTTTGTTTCCTACCTAACACTATGTCCCTTCTGGGTTCAGCATGCGCCAAGTCTACCTTACCCACGTGCCAGTCATTTTTATGATAACGGCTTTGTTTCAAGCATCTGTCAGTCTCTGGATTTTGCCATGGATTAATATAGAAGCTGATTGATATGAATCATTGGTCTCCAGTGCCCATGTCAAGATATTTATGCTTATTGAAACTTTTTAATTAGATACTAGCTTCAAAACACTTTAACCAATTTTTGTGGTAGAGAAGCTGAGACTGTACTTAACCTGGAGTTTGTGACTATAACCTCAGTCTTTCTTGCTTGCAGGTGATGTGTATGATATGTCTGGGCAAAGGATAGAAATAAATGAGGTAAGTGCTCAAGTGCTATCAGGATCTGTGCTTTCAGTTAGCCTGCCTGCTTAAGTGCTAGTACACACAACCCACCCAGGCATAGCTCATGTTCTTGACCTTGCAAGAGCTCATGCTCTTGACCCTGACAACAGGGGTGTGTGTTTTTGTGGATGCCAGAGGATTGCCAGAGTTGCATTCTCTTCCAGTAAGCCTGGTTTAAAACTGCAGGTCAGCTAGCCTGAGTGCCCACTGTTTCCTCAGCTTCACATTCTAGTGCATGCACAGCTCCTCTTGAATACTTGGCTGTTGATGATTGTTGGAAACTTGGACATTGGTGAATTTTATTATCCTTGGCAGTTAATTAAAGCTTTGGTGGGGAATCAGTGAGTTCAGTTCACATCAATAACAAGGTCACTGTCAAATTCCCCTGATGTCTGGACATTGGAAAGTGTGAAAACGGGTGACTTCTCCATTTCTCTCTAGCCTCTGGTTGCTGGCACAAACCCACAGGTCTGGGATTTCTAAAATGTCTGAAGACTGCATGCAGTAATCCAAGTAATAAATGGCAAGATGATGATGAAAATCCCACTCCTCATTCGAATGATTCATTTCCAGGCCATTTAAAACTTAAATTACCCACTGAAATTGGCTGTTTGTGACAAGTGCAGTCCCTCCAGACTGCCTTAGCTCAGGCAACAAAATGCAAAGGGCTGGCTTGCTTGGGGAGACATGCTGGTCTGCTGCCAACTGGCTGCCCAGCAGCTCCTCCTGCCCATGATACTTGCCGGAGCAGAGTCCTGCTGCCCACACATCCATGGTGTTGCAGTGCCTGGACCTTGCTGCGCAGATGAGTGTGTGTGAGGGGTGGGTCTGTGCTCTTGTAGTGTGTGCTAAATGTCAGCTTGCAGAGGTCAAAAGGATGACTCCCACCCTGGAAACTCTGAGCTCATCAGGGATGGGGCGGGAGTCGGAATCATGCCGGGCAGGCTCAGCAGTGCATTCCTCCATGACACATCATGCTGTGAACTTCTGGCCATATCTCCAGTACGTTCCCCTCCACTTGGGGCTCCTTGTTTTTAGACAAAACGGTCAGTGCCTGTGGAGTTGAACCTTTACATCACTTGTCTGTCATCTTTTTTCCTTATCAGGATTTTTTCTTGCTTTGGGAGAACAGGGTGGAGAACACAGCCTTTTGAATTGAGGCCCCACATTCCCCTATCACAGGCAGCCATTGACATCAGGAGCATGACGCCTCCAAGCAGGCATGTGTTGAAGACAGGCATTTCTTCACTATAGAAATCCTTTGGCAGTGATCCTGTAGGAGCACTTGCTGTCATACAGAGAGGCAGCTTTAGCTAATCAGGTTCTCAGCCTGAGTGCTGCTCTGAAAGGCACTTCAAGTGCTTGTCCTCTCCTGTGATTCAGTAGCTTTCATGACCCCCCTCTTAGACTCACCAATCTCTGTCATGAACAGCCCTGCAGGAGAGGATCCTTTATAAATGTGAGGAAGAGGGAGGGGTTGTGATGGGCAAGCACTGGTGTACAGGCATATGAGAGCTCCACAGATAACACCGAGCCTTATTTTTGCAGAACACAGAGAAGGTTGATTTCTCATACAACCAGCTAGCTGATCCAAAGTTTGCCTTCTATGACCATAGCCTGGTTGAAGCTGTGAAGCTGCGTGATGTCCCAACGCACAGGTTCTTCCGGCTGCTCTCACTTTGTCACACAGTGATGCCAGAAGAGAAGAAGGAAGGTGAGGACTGTTGAAGGCACCAGGCTGAGTGGTTATGTTCACCCCGCACCACAGCATGTCTTCTCTCCACAGAAGCTGTTATTGGTCCTTTTGGCTCCCTGGTGATTTTCTGTAGTATATGGCTACACATAAATCAATGTCTTTGGAGATGCCACACGGGAAGAGAAAGGACCAGGGCCTCCACTCCCTGTGTGTTCCTGTGGTGGAGCTGACACTACGGCGAACACCACATCTCTGGAGTGCGGAAATTGCAGGTGCCACAGCTTCCCTGAGGTGGCAGATGGCTTGCCCCACTCTTTCTCTACTCTGCACCAAGTCCCATAAAGCAAAAAGCATAGAGCACCTATCTGCTAGAGACTCATTAGCTCCACTCACCCAGTGTTCCCACAGGTATTGGGTCAGTGTCCTCAAATCCCAGACAGGGTGACTGTGCTTTAAAGGCTAGAACCATTAATTGGCACACATAAGGTGACAATACTGATGAGAAAAATACATGCAGATGTAACTAGGAGGGGTGAAATCCAAGGAAGTTGTGCTCTCAGTGAGATCTGTTGGACTCCAAAGAGTGATAAAAGACCCAAAAATAGTCTAGGAGGCCTCTTGCACTGGCCTAGAGGATGGGTTGATGGGACTTGATGGACACATGTGGACATAAGGTGCTTTTTAGTGCTGCATCTCTGGGGATAGACAGAAAAGCAAAGGATTAACTGCTATATAATATCTTTGATTTTGTGTTTGTTTAGCCTCAGAAACTAGGCAGAAACCACGTTACTTTTTCTTTCTTGCATGTCAGGTAACTTGGTGTATCAGGCCCAATCTCCTGACGAAGGAGCCCTTGTCACTGCTGCCAGAAACTTTGGATTTGTGTTCCGGGCTCGCACACCAGAGACCATCACCATTGTGGAAATGGGAGAAACAAAAATCTACAAACTCCTGGCTATTCTTGATTTCAACAATGTTCGCAAGCGAATGTCTGTTATTGGTATGTTGCCCTTGCTCCCTTCTTTCCTTCCAGACTTTTTAGGCTCTCAAGTTGGCCCTTCTGCTGTAATGCCTTTTCCTAGGAGACCTCCTTTGCAATGCTTTCTGAGTAACATTTACTTCTGAGCGCTTGAGATGGGCTGTCTTGACTTTTCTATTACACAGCAACAGTGCTAGATAAAGACTTAAATTAGGCAGGTGAGAGAACATATTAACATATGGACAACAATGATGCAGCAACCTTCTGAAAACATTAAGCTTTCTACATATCTTACCTCCGTCATGACAATGCAGGAAAGACCTTCCTTCTAATCAGCTTGAAAATTATCAGTGAAATCTGAGAAAGTGGGAAAGAAGAAAGCAAGGACAAGGAGAGAAGCCCACTTTCCCAAAAGGAAAATGGAGAAATGATTCAAGAAACCTCCTGTAGCCTTTATTAACACTCCAACATTGCCAGATATTTCAGGAATTGGAATATCATAACTGTAGCAGGAGAGTGGTAGTACCTTTACTGGTAGGAGCAATAAGAGCACCAGGACCAGTTCCCTAAGAACAAATCGTTCTTGACTTTTGAATGCACGTGTCCTGCCTGAAGTGCTGCCTGTAGGAACCACACAGTTCAACAGAGCATCTGCTCAGACCAATGTAATCTGGGTACAGTTGCCTGTACTGCTACTGCAAAGGTGGAGAGTAGTTGCATTATTTTCTTTTCTAAGCAAAGCTTGTCTTGATTCCTGGGAGTCTGCCAAAACTCAGTGGAGTTCAGACACCTCTAAAAACCTTTGTTTTGATGGAAGTGCTGTGAATCGCAAGTGCATCAATCTGAGATTTGTAGCATTTCTTTTCCTCTTCCTTGCAGTGCGGAGTCCAGAAGGTGACTTGACTTTGTACTGCAAGGGGGCTGACACTATTCTTTATGAACTGCTGCATTCATCCTGTGACTCTCTGAAAGAGGAGACCACAGAACACCTGAATGTAAGTGCTTCCTTCTGCACAACATCTCTGCATTTGACAGTTTCCTTTTCTCCGGGTATAGAAACATACTTTGTGTTAAGACAAAAAACATATTTAAGAAACAGCACCTAAGCACCAATTTTTTTTAATTGTGGAATGGAGAGGGAAATTAATTTATAAAGCCTTAGGTCTCAAATCAGTTGCTTAAGCATGGGCACCAGGTGCCATTTGAACTGCTCCAGGACATCTGGGCATGGATGGCAAATACAATGCAGGACATTCAGAAGACATGTGTTTCTCTGGAGTAGGACTGGAAGTGAGGCAGGATAGGTGAAACACCTGAAATGGCACAACACATCTGTGTTTTGGCAACTAAATTCTATCCAAGTCTGCTGTTACTCTACAATGCATACACCCAATGCATTCAAGCATGCCTTGGATTGGAATAACTCAGGTGATCAGTAAAGGGCCACAGAGCTGCTTACCTTCTTGAATACAATTAAGATCTGCAGTGATTGCGATCCGAGACGTCTCAGTCAGCAGGGACCTCTTCCAGATCATATAGCGGCATATGGACTGGGCACCAAGGAAAATGCATCACTCAAACTTCTGGACTTTTATATTGTTGATGGTGTGCACTGGGAGGTGCTTACTCACATAAGGGGATGTTTTGGCTAATATTTACTCCCCCTTGTGATGCCAGGTCCTGCTGGTATGGTACACAGGACAAGATAACAGCAAGTTTTGCCAGAGGGGCTGTGCAATAGCAAAAACATTTCTGCTCACTGCTGGGGGGAGCTAGAGAAAGTTGCTGGCAAAGGAGAAGGCAGAGTAGAGCTGTGGATGTGGCCTGCTTCTGATTCACCTTTACTTCAAGCCTGAGGGCTTCAGGCTTGTAAAAACTTCAGTTTTTACAAACAGATCTCTCTTATTCCACCAAACACTGATATTCATACTGTCAGTCATACATCTACAGAAAGCACAGTTACAAGGACTGGCTGAGATGTCATGACTGACTGTGCTCATGCTGTGCATTTCAGCCAGCATTTGTACCCTCAAAATATTGAGCCCAGGTCCAAAAGTCAAGGCTGTGTTCTGTGTTTATTTAAGTCTCACTATTCTGAATCTTTTTTTGAGAAGTATGAGCCTAGGAAACAGCTGCCTGGTTAATGTAAAGATTTAGAGCCAGAAAATAGGAAAGCCCTTTTGAATTTGTTCTTTGTAATGACCATGAATGGCAATGATAAAGTGGTCTGAAACTAGTTTTTAAAAAGTACCCCAATATCTGTGGTCTAAAGTGTGATTTTTTTCACCTTTCCTCTGCAGACTTTAGGCAAAAAGTTTTTACAGATAGCTGTTTGCTTTCCAAGGGTCCTTTGTAAGCCCAGGTGAGCAGACCATTCTTCTTTGACCTATTCTGCCTCACCACTGTCTTGCAGGAGTTTGCTGGTGAAGGTCTGAGGACACTCGTGGTGGCCTATAAAAACTTGGATGAAGACTACTTTCAGGACTGGATCAGGCGTCACCATGAAGCAAGCACTGCCTTGGAAGGACGGGAAGATAGATTGTCGGAGTTATATGAAGAGATTGAAAAAGACCTAATGGTTGGTGTTTCAGGGAATCTGGGCCAAGCTCTGGGGGAGGCAGCGAGGATGGTGGTTTGTCAATAAACAGCTCAGTATGGGTTCAGTAAACATTGCTCTGCAAACAGCTCAGTGGGTTGTGTGACAGGAGCGGTTAAGAATATGGCAGTCCTGGGTTTTCACTGGCACCTCCGTCAGGAGCCCGTAACTGCGGTGTCAGCCACCAGTGCAGGGGAATGGTTTTATTTTAACTCACGTGGGTGTCAGAGTAGCTTTCTCGTGATGAAGTGACATACCAGAGCCTGAGGGAGATGACATGGACACAAATATTTCATAGCTATCCTTTGTATGTGCAAATGGCTGATCTATTTATTTTCCTGTCTTTGAAATGGCAGGCAGTGAATAATCCCCAGTGCCCCTCCATTTCAGAGTGTTGTCTTTGTTCTTGCAGCCCTGGGCAGGATGGGGAGATGATGTCCATGAACATGTTTCTGTCAATTTGAAATAGGGCTAAACTGTGATCTTCAAGTCATTCTTCTCTCCCTGAGTGTTGTTACAGCTTTCTGAATGCCCGGGAGGGGGGTCTGCCTGTGTTTTAGAGCCGTGAATAATGAATGAAAAGGATGTGTGGGATCAGAGGGGAAGCAATTCAGCTTTTGCATTGGCAGCAGTGCTTTCCTGAAATCTCAGAAATCCTGGGAGCTGCATGGTTGCTCCTTCCATTAGCTGTACGCTCAGGTTGCCAGCAGGGCCTGGGAACAAGCAAGTGTAAGCCAAGGAGATGCTGACCTCTGGAAGTTGCATAGTCCATGGGGCAGAGCCTACTGCCCTTCTGGGTCTCAACAGAGTAGCGGAAAATGCTGATCCTCCAGTCCAGAGAATACAAATGTGCAAATGCTCTGTGGGCTGTGTTCAAAGCAGGAAAGACAAGGAGCTTTAGGAGGTTAAGGGGCCAGGTGCTTTGCAAGAAAGGGTTATGAAGCTCATGGCCTGAGTAGAGAAAAGGTCATGGGCTCACTGCAGGAAGAAGTGTGGCTCAGAAGAAAACACTGTTTACACCAGACCCTTCTCTGGAGGAGTGACTTTACTTCTCAAAGGTGCTGTGGGAAGGACAGAGGGTGGGTGGGTGTAGGAAAGCCTGGCTTGTGACTGGGAATGAGTGTGAGAGCCAGAATCATCAAGGAAGTAGACGGGTCCTGTGGACGTGTAGAGGACTGCCAAGTACCATAGTCTGGTTGATGGGCAAGAGCAGAAGTCCCTGTGTGTGGCAGGCTCCTGCTAGCGGCCCTCGGGGTGGGTAAGGGTATAAGGACACAAGGGGATGGAACACGGTTAGATTAAGAAAGTAGTAGTAAAAATACTAGCTATCACTGATTGACCTAAAAACTAGGGAAGATCCACGGTAAGGAACGCATCACGACTGTCCCTCCAGCTGCTCTTACACCAGGTCATGGGCAGACAGGCAAAGGCCTGTCAACAATACTGTTGTGCCTTTCTGCAGCTCCAGAAGGACAATGGCTGTGGGGAATGCAAGCCCTTGTTCTCTCTTCCTGGGCACATTTGACATCAGTGTCCATCTTAAGGCTTCCAGCTCAGACTCAGGCTGCCAAGGATGAGCAGGTGCTCCCAGGAGGTGGCTTTGTATGCTACAAGCATTCAAGCTCTCGCTAGCTGGACCAGGGACTACTGCCGTAAAATGTGGATTGTGCACTTCTGAGGACCCTACAGAGAAGTTCCATTAGAGCTTTTGTCTACATTGATAACACTCAAAGCTGATGAATGATGAACATCCCAGGAAGCCAAAAGGGATCTTGGGCTTAAAGCCAACCTCTGAATTTAGTCTCCCAACAGCAGGAGGTAGGTGGTAGCAGATGCTGTCTAAACCTGAGCTAGCAGTGAAACCTTCATCTCCCTTTGACAATAGGTTAAAGCCACCAAGTATCTCCAAAATGCAGAAAAAGCAGTAACTTTAAAATAATGAAGGTTTCTGTCCTGAGCCATCTGTGGTTGTTTAGTTGTGTGACAGTGTGGAGGAGGGGTGGGGACAGGTCTGTTAGGGGCTGGAGAAGGTGTTTAGCAGCCATAGGACAGCTGCTGTACAATATAGCTGGGAGCAAGCTCCACATGAGAGGATGCATATTGAAGTTTGGGGACACGGATCCACAGCTGTCTTTGTCCCTCAGTTAAAGCTCTTTCTGCTGTGAAGGGAACACACGGATGAACACAGACCTATAGGTCTGAAAACACGTTGGCAAATAATTTCATGCATGTTCGTGATCCATGTGAGCCTGGGGGATGAGAGACTAGAACATCTGCTGGATCATGGCTCTACTCTGCACAATAGATTTGCTGAGGAATAATGAAAAACAGTACAACCTTAACCCTGGATTTCATTTGTTTTTGCTTGAGTAATTACCTGGAGGTCTAATGCTTTATCCTTTGCTAGCAATGGGAAGACTTACCAGTTCCCTGCCATTTTCTGTTAAGCTGCTAGGTGCCACAGCGATTGAGGACAAGTTACAAGATGGAGTCCCACAGACAATTGAGACTCTTGCCAAAGCCAACATTAAGATATGGGTTCTCACTGGAGACAAGCAAGGTAACGGGGCTGCAGGGTTGGATGTTTCTGTTCTCTCCCACCGGTGGGATGGTTCTGCTAAGACCCATGTTCTCATTCTTTCTCCTTTGAAAACTGCACAGAAGACAAACTTACAGGGCTTTGCTTCATTGCCAACGAGGCAAAACTCCAGTTATCTGAAGTTAGACCACATAACTGTAGCTAGTGCCTGTTCTTAATTCCTGTCCTGAGGCTGGAGGCAGTGTGAGGGCAGCATCCTTTGTGTTGGAGAGGAGACAATGAGCATCCCATAGTCCCTGTCATATGCTGTGGAAAGGTGTCACTTTAGTCTGGTCGACTGTCCTGGTGAGGAAGGTGGAAAAAATCTTGTCCTGCTTTCCAGGGACTTTAACGCTAAAGTGGTTGTTGGGTCTGTTTCAGTTTGGCCCTGGCATTAATGATCCAGAATAGAAATGGAGGAAACACAGGCTTTTGGAGAAAGCGTTAAGTTGGAAAGAATGGTAAATAGTCTCCAATGAATTCTTTTGGAGAAATAGTAACTTCACTGAAACAATGGTGTTTCAGGGAGGCCAAAAGTGTTTGCAAATAATTTCATCCAAGAAATGAGCAGAGAATTTTTGAGAAAAATGAAACATTTCATTTTGTCATGTTCCAAATGTAATAGTTTTGCTTATGAAATACCACAATAATTTTGTTTTAGAATTTTCTGAAAAATATGTCTTGATATTCTTCTTCAGCACTATGGTTTGGGGCTTTTCTGCGGGGGGAGGGAAAGTTAAAAATCCTGAAAAAATTTTTTTAATCAATGTGACATGTTTTTTGTTGCTCCAAGTATGTTGGCCAAAGGGTGTTTTAAGCTTTTTCATTTTGATAGAGTTATTTTTTTCTGTGGCCTTGTGAAGCTCAGTTAGGGGAGGGAGATTTGCTGCTACATCCATTAATGTGACTCTCCTGGCTCTCTTAAACTGTTGACTCTGAAAGGCTCAGAGCTCTTTTGAGTGAGAAAGAGAGCTTTTGTCATGTGTGTAAAAAGGCCACAGAGGTGGTGGGTGAGTTTGGGGCTGCTAAGATGGGTCATCTTCCTGGTTTATCTTTCCCAGAGACGGCAATGAATATTGGTTACTCCTGCAATTTGCTGAATGATGACATGGAAGATGTTTTCATTATTGAAGGCAGCACACCCGATGACGTACTTAATGAACTGAGGTAATGGCTGAAATATACAGCTTCATTGTTGTGCACTGAGACTACTTGTATTTTGTATTATTCTGCCTTTTTTGCCTGTGGGCTTTGCTTGGTGCAGTTCATTCAGGTACCTTAGATAGGGGCTAGCTGGCTCCCTGGAAGATCCAGCAGCTAAACACAATGTAGAAATCTCCTCTGAGGATAAACTCTGAAGCTTCTTGATCCAAGAGGTCAAATCTATATAAATGTATAAGAAAGCAGAGTCAGGCAGGCAGTATCAGCTGACATTTGACAAGTGATCTGGAGCAACAAAGCCTTTGGCTCCAGGCTGGAGCTATGCTGTTGCTGTACTGCTATTGCCCTTCATCCACATTGCGGTCATTTGTCTGGATACAGTCCTTCTCTACCATTATCTGGAAATCTACCTTCCTCCCTAGCCTTGTCAGTAGACACAAATTCTTAGGTATCGGTGGGAAATGTGAAAGATTTTCATTCCTTTTCTCTTGAAATAGGCAGTTGCCAGACAATATGCACAGAAGACTGGGATGCCCTTTGGGATACTGTCCTTCATGACACTCAGATGATTTGTTTGACTTTAAATAAGCACAAGTTTAGCACACACTTGTTAGAGTTTCAGAAGCATGTGGATCATCTGCACAAACAGCAGCAGCTAAACTATGCATGTTGTAGGGATACAGGGAAAATTGAACTAAACTATCAAAGGGAAGCATCAATTTTTTATTTTCATAGAGTTGATTTAATGAAACATATGTATCTTTACAAACTTTTCATTATTATTCTGGATTTTTTTTTAGGAATGCAAGGAAAAAGATGAAGCCAGACTCCTTTCTGGATAGTGATGAAATCAACATTCAGTTTGAAAAATCTTCAAAAAAGCCAAAACTTATACCTGATGAACAAGCAAATGGGGTGTATGGTCTGGTTATCACCGGCCACAGCCTGGTAAGGAAGGTTCAGAGTCATGTTAGGGCTGTTAGTCATGTTAGTCATGTTGATGTGATAGAGACATACTAAAAGTCTGAAAATGATTTTAAAATTTAGCTCTAGAGGAATGGATTCTTCTTTTTTCTAATTGAAGATTAGGTTCAGTGGCTATCTGAAACATGAAAGGTGATGGGCAAGGTTTCAGAAAACTGGAACAGGGAAGAGTTGGACCGATGTTAGGTGAACAAGAGGGGTAGAGTAGCAGCATAAATTTTCATTTCCAGAAAGGTACTAGGAAAATAATCAGGCAGTTTATAGATGCAGCAAGGAGACAAGAAAACATCAGACATGGGTTTCAGGTATGCCAGGAACATATTCTACTATCTGATAATGGATACATTTAACAGATAGGATATATATCTTATAACTTAACTAATAAATTGCTTGATGCTCTCTCCCATGATGTTCTTCCAAGCAAACTGAAGTAACATGGTCTAGATGAAATTGTTAAGTAACATATGCAAGATTGCTTGGAAATTATGGCTCTTAAGGGCTCACTGTTGATCTAAAACAACAGTTAAGTGGCATCTGCAGGGGGCTATCCCACTTCTATTTGATATTCAGTGTTTGCCTTAACTGCTTAAAAAGAGAGCAGGTAACACCAGGCTGGGAGAAACTGCAGGCATGATGGAGTTCAAGATTAGATTTGAAAACAATTTTAACTAATTGGAGAAATACTTTGGAAAAATGAAGAATGCAATTCAGTAGGAACAAATGCATTGTTCTCCACTTCTACATAATCAACAGCACACATAAAAATCAAAGAAATGTATGTAAGAGCATCATCTGTAAGCCTTGTGAAGGAAGCCTCCTCTTTCATACAGCATCAGTAAAGCCTAAGTTGAAATAATTCCACTTCTTTGGGCCATTTTCTTTGAGAAAATGTAGACCAACTAGAAAGAGTACAAAGAAAACTGTAAGAGTAGTCATGCATGATGTGGAAAGCACATGGAAAAACTGAGAGAGTTAGGATTTCTGAGCCTGGAGAATACCTGTCAGTCTTGGTAATACTTTTCAAATAACAATAGGTAAAAAAACCTAATGGAATTAAACTGAGATAAGAGAGTTTGGGGTGAAATATCTTCCTGGTGAGAACAGTGCAGCACTGGAATAGATTTTCCGTCCTTGGAAATTTTTTAGAACAGGTTAGAGAGAAACACAATTTAGATAGATACATTTCAACCTGTCTGGGAGGAAGGCTTAATCTAGATCAGGTTTATTTGTCTATTGTATTTTGCTTTCCCAGACTGCAGGGGAAGCAGATAGGTAGACATGGAAAGAGCCAGGAGGCACTGCCTTTCGGAGACAAGATACTTCTGTACCCTGTGGTTGCTACCTCTCTTGATGATTAGTCCAGCAAATTTAAATCACAGGTCTATACCAGCCCGGCAAATTACTATCAAAAAAAATCTCATCTTGCTCCATTTTTGGCTTGTGTGCCATGTATACAGACCCTGGACTAGAAGGGACACTTTCAGGCAGTGTCTACATTTTCAAGTGCCATCTCTCCCTCTTTTACACTTGCTCCCTCTTTAACTCCAGGGCCTCGATCCCCTTTAGATCCCCACTGCAAAACAGACGAGCTCTATCAAGTTCTGTGCATCTGCATGGGCAAATCCTCTGACATCGCAGCCGGCCGCAAGCCCCTGTCTGTTCCTACTCCATCCCTTCATTCTGCAGCACAGACCCCAAGTGCTGTGCTATGAAAGCACCCCTGGCAGTGGTGACAAAGCTTTCTTTTTATTCCTGGAAAACCACAGACTCACCCATACCCTGGCAAGGAGATATGTCCCACACAAAGAAATTCAAATCTGTGCTGTGTGGGAGCAGCCAGCCCACAGAGCCTGCAGCAGAGTGGACACAGCCAGTCTCGCCAAGACCATGGCTTTCTCCTGGATGTGGACCACAAGGACAGTGTGGACAAAACTATATGTTATTTATTTATTTCTGTGAATGTAGAGCTTAAACAATGGTAATAGTGCTGATACTGTCCCACTCAAACACAGCATCTCTTCAGTGCTGCATCCCTGTGTGCAGATGGGTGGGATGGCAGCACTGGGGCTATGCACACATCTGGTCTTGCTTAAACAAAGTGAGTGAACAGAAGCACATCACCATCCGTAATGGCATCATCATACTAGTTGATTTGTGTGCAGTACCATTAATATACTATGTGATAACATTTTGCTAGGGCCGTGCAGCGAGGGTGTTGTGGCAAAAGCCATCTCTAACTGCACTGACAGGCCAGTACGAAAGCCAAACCATGAAAAGGTCTCTTGTTGAGCAAGCCTGCTTGCCACTGACAGGAGGGAAGCGGGGGTGCTGATGACTCACAGCACTCTGTTTCAAGAAGAAAGGCTATCTGGGCTAAGGATTGTCTGCCTTACACAGTGCGCTGGCTGTAATGGCTCTGAGAAGGAGACAGCCCTGTAGATTCCTTCCATGCATGTCTACTGAACAGAGCCAAAAAGCATGATTGGAAAGAAATATGGAAAGCTAACATTGCTCCCTCCTCCTCACACAGACCTGGAGGGGTGACCAGACATCCAATTATCTCTGTGTTTCCTCAACAGAAATAACACAGCTGACTGATTTAAAAGGTCAGGACTCAGAGTTGTCTCACCAACTCAAAGTTGTCTTCTCCCTGTCTTTGTGTTTTACTTTGTCATGCCCACCTGAGCTCAGCTTTTTCCATATTTTTTTTTAATTAAGTACTCCCAAATTGAAGTTGCTTCTATTTATACCACAGATCTCCCAGAGCTTAAAAAATAAACCAAGAGGGATGAGCAGAGACTCTCTCGCATGGAGATACGCAAGGTTGTCTCAGGCCCAGCAGTAGCTTCATTAATTTAGCACTCCTGTTGTTTGACATTTCTGCCGCGCTGTCAGGTTACACCAGCCGGAGCAGCTGTTGTGCAAATCCAGCTGTGGTGCATCCAAGGTGCCAGCTCGTAGGTGTACGCTGCGCGGCATGATGGTGTGCGGCGTGGATGCTCCCTGCGACCGAACAGGCGGATTCACTTGGGGTATCTCATACCTTCCTTCTGCCGAATGGAAGAGCTAGCTCAGTTCTCATTTCCTTCCCGCCGCGTCCTCTCTGTCAGGCGACGAGCTGCTGCTAGTCTGACCTGAACACCTCCTTTGCTCCTTCTTTTCAGGCTTACGCGCTGGAAGGGAATCTGGAGCTGGAGCTGGTGAGAACCGCCTGCATGTGCAAAGTGGTGATCTGCTGCCGGGTGACTCCGCTGCAGAAGGCCCAGGTGGTGGAGCTGGTGAAGAAGTACAAGAAGGCTGTGACGCTGGCGATCGGAGACGGCGCCAACGACGTCAGCATGATCAAGAGTGAGTGATGGCTGACAGCCCGCGTGCTCTAGCAAACTGACTCGCTGACGTATTTGCTATCCGAGGTGGCCTAGCAGCTGGAACACGTATCTGAGTGCCTTCTGGACCACCCGCTTTGTGGCACCAAGTGGCCGCGTCCCAAGTTTTGGCAGGTTTCTACAGAGCACTGTCACTATAGGCTACTCGTGTCTCCTGCCTTCCAGGACACACAGGAGGGCCCTTTGCTGTGCTCCCAACACCAGGATCGCAGGAAGCTAAGGCTGCACTTACTGTTTCTGCCTTAGAATAGACAAGAGCCCACCGGGGCTGTGACATGTCCCCCTGTGCGTCAGCGTGGTCACCATCACATGGGCAATACAAAGAACAAACAAGTTTGTTTCAGAGAGGGCCTGTCTGCAATGCGGAAAGAAAATCTTCATGCCTGTAAATAGTCTGTATAATGTTACATGATTTTTTTTAGCGTTTCCATGAGGTAGTGCCATTTGTCAATTACCTCCCTAGAGTTATAATTCATGGGCTTTTAGACCCCTTTGTCCTTGAGCATCATTTGTTGCTGCATTACCTCAGTGAATTTATGAAAAAAATCCCCTAACTAGGTATAATTAAATTAAGATTATTCAGAAGGGCCTATTGCTAATCTTCCTCGTGCTAATTTGCAAGAATTTATTAACTGGAGCCTTTCAATTAAGAAAGAAAAGGCTAACTGGGAGCTTCAAGGGAGATAAGTCAGGCAGTCAGTAAAGAAAAGTTGAAGTGTACATGATAATTAGAAACTAACCCACTCCCCCCATGAGAGGGTTGGGACTGTGGGATTTTATCAATTCACTGTTCCATGGAAACCTCTGAATCTAACAAACCTCCAGCCATCGAGATTGTTCTCATTAGTTAAAGCTGCATAATTAGCTGTCACATTAAACTTATGTCCATGTTTAATAAACCCAAGTTACTATTAAAAAAAGACGTGAATCTTCTATGTAATTATTTGATTGAACTAATAAAGCCCAGGAAATGTAAAAAGGCTACAGTCTGCCTTGTAGCACTATGTCTGAGAAATCTGTAAGGGGTTTGAAGATTTTGCTTGTCTGGAGTGATGTTTTAAGGCTGCTGGAAGGACATACATGCATGTAAATGTAAGTCCCATGTCAATATAAATTAAAGTGATTTTTTCATAACAGCAGCTGTTATGAACAACAGCATTTATACTGTTGGAAAATGTTCAGAAAGAAAACATGAATTGTCACTGAGGGTAATTTCATTCAAACAATAAAAGGCCAGTTACTGGAAATGTGTCACCACAGCCAAAATCATAAAGCTGCTGAAACAATTAGTGCCCAAAAGTTTTTGGTTTTCTTTTTTTAAATAACTTTACATATGATTTTTTATGAAGGCCGAGAGGGAATTAACACAGTGTCCTCATGCAGGGAGCTCATTTAAAAAATGGGGTAATCAAAACTCTCAGTGTAATGACGTGATCAATAACCTTCTTGTTGCAGCTGCCCATATTGGGGTTGGTATCAGCGGCCAGGAGGGGATGCAGGCAGTCTTGTCCAGTGACTTCTCCTTTGCACAGTTCCGTTACCTGCAGCGCCTGCTCTTGGTCCATGGCCGGTGGTCCTACATCCGCATGTGCAAGTTCCTCAAATACTTCTTCTATAAGAATTTTGCCTTCACGTTAGTGCATTTCTGGTATGGCTTCTTCTCTGGCTTCTCAGCACAGGTAGGTCCAGCTTCTGTTTTCTCATGGTCATGTGTAGCATTTTCAAGCAGAGTATCTGGAAACATTTTAAAAGGAAATAAACTAAGCCATTCCCCCCACTTCACTGAATGGCACACCGGTCTGTCTTCTTCAGCGGTATGAGTATAAAGCAGATATTGTTGCCTTCGTTGTGCTGCTGGTAGAGGACAGATGCCTGAGGACATTTAGGTGCATTATGAAGCACACAGATCCCTCGTGGGATTTTCAAAAGTGTTCGAATTGACTACAGCCATCAAACGAGGATACAGCTTACACAGAGGTCTGAACAGTTTGGTGCAGATCTAAGACCTGTGCTTGCCCTGTTAGCACATTGGAAGCAGTTTAACCCCAGTTGTGCTTCAGCAGCTTGGGAGAGGAGCATATCACCTGCAGCAAAAAATCGGGGGGGCTGAGGGTGCAGGGGTGCAGGCAGGGTGGTCACCATCCGCCCCTGCCCACTGGCTGCCTGGAGTGGGGTGGGGGGGTGATGGTGGTGGGGTGGATCCTGCTCTGGCTGTGGCCAGCAGTGGATGCTGAGCAAACAGGGCTAGCGTAATGTCATCCTTCCCCCATGTATTCCCACAGCTTATGGTGATGAGCTGTTTAGGGCTGCTGAGCTTGAGTCACCTTACACGTTTGGTCTCAGTAGTATCTCAAACCAAGATGTTCCAGCATTTAACTGTGTATGCTTTCAAAGCGGTGGAAAAGGCAGCCTTTTGCCAACTTCATGCTCTGTTGTTTGGGTTTTTTTCAGACTGTCTATGATGAGTGGTTCATTACGCTTTACAATTTGGTGTATACCTCCCTCCCAGTGCTTGGAATGAGCCTCTTCGATCAGGTACTGTTTCTAACACCACTTGGATTTTTTTATAGGGGTTTTATCTCCAGGCTCTTTGAGCTGATTCCATGAAGCAAAAGCAGCTGACTTTTTGGCTAGCTGTTGTGGTAGCCCCTGAAACAGTTTCCTGCCAGTGAGACCTGAGAGCACAAAAAAGGACGGACCAGGGAGGAGATTATCCTGATTTGGCCAGTCGGTTACAGTGTGTGATGAGACTTTTGGGCTAGGCTGTTGATTACAGTAAAAGCTGCCATTGCAACACTCCCCTGAAGTAGTCGTATCTTAGTAGCTGTGTTCCTGAAGCCTGAACTTTTTAACAACCACACAAAACAATGAATGAACTAGTTCTCTGAAACCAGGTGTTCCAGGTTCAGCCTTTCTAGTGGAAGTCTTTCTGCAGTAATTTCAGATAGATACACATTTCTACCTCATTATTACCTCAATATTACATATTACAGTATTTGGCAAGACACAGGTGCAGTAAAGCTCTTCCTATATGCCATTTACAAGTTAAATAAGTAGGAACTTGCTACACTGCAGTGGTTCACAGTGTTCAGCTCTGGATGCTTAGGGGACCCAAGTCAGCCAGCCTTGCCTGTTTGTGGACCCAGGGAAGGTATTTTCTATCCCTTAGCTTCCAGGCAACTCTCTGGAGGGCAGACCATGCAGTCTGCTTAAGTTGAAGCGTACCTTCATTTTTTTTGCAGCACTTATCAGTTTTCTCAGCACAAGAAAGGTGAAATTCAACATGGAAAATATGTTTAGGTGACCTTGGGGTGTGGCATGCTACTCAGCACAACTGACTGAATTGTGTGCTAAGCCTTTTCTCATAGAAATGCATGGCACAGGGACATGGCGACCCTAAGTGGTCTTGTGTGGTTGGTTGGGCAGGTGCCAGCAAATCTGACCATCTCATCTCTACTTTCAGGATGTGGATGATCGTTGGAGCATGCTATTTCCTCAGCTATATGTGCCTGGCCAGCAGAACCTGTATTTTAACAAAATAGTGTTTGTCAAGTGCATGATGCAAGGGATCTACAGTTCCCTCATTCTCTTCTTCATCCCCTATGGGGCCATGTACAATACAGTGAGAAGTGATGGGAAGGCCATTGCTGACTACCAGTCCTTTGCACTGATGGCCCAGACCTGCTTACTGATTGTGGTGTCTGTACAGGTAAGGCATCCCAGGTAATATTTTTAGGAATTAGTTGTTGTTTTATGAAGGCAGCATCTGGAGGGCCACTTGGGATCTTGATAGCATTGTATTTGCTGCTGCATCTTGCATTCTTGCAAAAAAAAAAGTCTCTTGACACCAGATTACTCTCCTCAGTTCAACAGAACAACAGATTTGTATGTTATGAAAGAGCAAGGTGACAGGAAAGCAAAGTTTTTGCCTTGGGAAGTTTGCAGTCATAACAGACAAAACAGTTAAGGCTGGGAATAGAGAAGGACTCATTCCAGTTTTATGGGACAGGTTTGAAGCACAGGACTGTCTATCTGCTGTCAAGCAGTTATTTATAGGGCCTCCATTATGGGGCTGTCTCTGTAGCCTGGCCCCATGCATGATGCAGATGCTAGGCCTGCACTTGCTGGGAGAAGTAGCTAAGACTTGGTGGTACAAAATTCAGATGGTACTAGCAGGATGAGAGAAACTTCTTAAGAGAAAACCAATCAACCACACCTCCCTAGATAATTGATTCTGCTGTCTGGGTCTTGTAGGCTCCTTCTCCTAACTTGCAATGCTAGATCACAGCTTGGGGGTGGGGACATAAGCATGGCTCATTTGAACTTAGTATTCTGTCTCCAGTACTGGCCACTGGTGAATGCTTGAGAAGAGGGCAAGAACAGGGCAAACATATTAATGCTGCCTTGAATGGTCTCCCAGCATCCTATGATCTGTGGCTTGGTATTTCCTGAGACCTGAATGAATAACAGTCTCAGGGGCAGGTGTACAAAGCAGAGGACAAGCTGTGTTCAGCACAGATCTGCTAAATAATTAAGGCACTGACAATAGCTGTATTGCTCCATTCTTTCAGATTGGCTTGGACACCTCTTACTGGACAGTTGTGAACCAGTTCTTCATCTGGGGCAGCCTTTCCGTTTATTTTGCTATCACCTTCACCATGTACAGTGATGGCATGTACCTGATCTTCACAGCCTCTTTTCCCTTCATTGGTAAGCCCTGGGACAAATCTGGATTGCACTCAAAATGGGCATACTGTGGGGCTTAAATCTGTCAAGTATTTCTAGTACATGTTATTGCCTCTCTAGAGGCAGTAACAGTGTATTGATTGCTTTTTCTACAAGAAATGCCAGGGTATTTCTGAGGGCTGCTGGGAATGCTTATTTTGAATCTCATCCATCGAAGCGAACGTGTGCCACGTTCATAAGAACGCACATTCACATGCAGCCACAGGAATGGTCCTTTAAATAAATCTACTGAGCTCGCTGGAATGCTGTTCTTTTATATTCTGTTTCCAGGTGTCCAATTCTTACAGATATCTAGGAGTGTTTTGTTTGCAGAAGGATGCATGTTCTTTTGTAAATAGCTTAACATATTGTTATAGGAAAGCATAGAAGTACAACATCCAGTTAGACATGAGAAAAATGTCATGTGATTATGATGAGCCTTCAGCCAGGTTAAATGGCAAATTCCCAGCAAAAAAAATTCCAGAGATGACCAGGTCTTTGGAGTTACTCTACATAACAGATTCCTGAGCATATGCAAAAAGTGAAGGATAACATAAAGAGGAGTCCATCTCCTGAGACTTTAACCAGGAGGAAGATAAAAGCTTAGCAAAGTAATTTAGATGTTTTTAATAGCTTTGTGCATCCGTAGCCAATATTAATACAGCATTGTTATGAAACTCTACTTCTGAAATCCCAACACTTTTCGTTTCAAGCCTCAGTTTGGTGTATTAATCAATGCCTTTATTTCTTGATGAATTGTTAAGCCAAGACTTGTTCTGCCCATCTTCACTTCAATACCAAGGTGCTTGGCCATTTTAGAAATATCTGAGATGCAGGTCAGTGGTTGCAACATATTTTCCATGCAGATGGTCACATCCACTGTAAGATGGCTTTTAGTATCAAATGCTGAGTGAGAGAAGAGTGTCTGTTCAATTTCCAAAGACAGGTGGTAACTCACTTGCCAGGGATATCTCTATCTGCTGCTCTGTTGGTACTACGTCGGTCAAATTAGCCATAATGCTGAGGGCCACTTAAAAAGGTCTCAGTCTGAAACCATTTTTAAGGAAAGCGTTTCTAGTCTGGACTCAGACAACTTGTTTACTTTAATTTCAGTGGAGTTGTATTACAGCAGAATTGGGCCATCTGAAAAGAAAACATTCAGCAACTTTACTGCCAACAACAGCATCATTAAGCCCTGTAATGAGGGTTTTGCAGACTGTTTGTTCTATCTTACATTCCTTCAGTTTTGGAGGAGCCAGAAGTGAGCACTTTGGTTTAAAAGAAGGTGGCAGTGTTACGCTAGCACATGGCAGTTGCTCTGCCAATACACCCATCAGGCTATGTTGTCCGTGCAAACACCCAGAGCAACACATGCTCCTCTAGTAAAGGGCTGTGATCCTACTGTCTGCTGGGCAGAGTCAGTACTCCATGTGCTTCAGGAAATGGTGCTGGTAAGAAAATTCCTCCTTTTGCACGAGAGTTCTGGCAAAAGATGAGAGGGCTGGACTGCTGCTGAAGAAGATGTCCTGAACATTTATACTAATCCTTTGCAGTGATTTGACTCTTTGTAAAGAGATGAGGCATTCGCTCTGACATCCTTGTCTCCCTGAGTTATTGCTGCCGTTGTGTCTGGACGTTGCATTTTTCTTTACTCATCCCAGACAGTGGTATTGGTATTGCTGTCCTCTCTACAGCAAGTTGATTTCACTGTTGGAGATGGTGTCTGCTTTGTATTTTGGTCTGTTTGCCAAGTGCTTCGGAATCACAGAGAGTGAAATGTACAGGTGAATGATGGTGAGAGATGCTGCCGTTACGGTTTTAATCATGCTTTTGTTTTTCAGGTACAGCTCGAAACACTCTCAGCCAACCAAATGTGTGGCTAGCTATCTTCCTCAGCATCACCCTCTGTGTGCTGCCTGTAGTTGGCTTTCAATTCCTGAAGGCTCAGTTAAAGCCAACTCCCAGCGATAAAGTAAGGAGATACCTTATTGAACCAGAAATACTGCTTACTACCACTTAAGCTTACCGTGGAGCCATATTGCATGGGCTTGGCATTGCTCAGAGCATACGTCCCTGTAGGTGCAAGTGCTGCCATCCATCTGTCCCTTGGTCCCTTGAGAAGGAGGACTGAAGTTGGGTTTTGGCACAGTTCAAACCATCTGCAGCTGGGGCCAAGGCTGAGATTATTTAGATGTAGATTAGACTGCACTGGAGCAAGAAAGCTGCACTATTGTTAGGTGCAGGGTTTAAGTACTGTGGCTCAGTGGCAAAGAAACGGCGGATTCCTCCTGCCCCGCTGCTGTACAGTTTTTAGCCTGGCAGTCCGCAGACCTTCACCCTCCACTCAGGCGTACGTGTTTGCTGGGGATATTTTTACTTCGTTTGTAGCCAAAGGTTATACACCCCCTCTGAAACCAGCTGCCCTCCCATCCCCAGGAATACGAAGATAAGGCCACTTGGGCAAGGAGAGGCTGGGAGAGGTGGAGGGGGCAGAAAGTGCACAGCTCACCGCAGCCCATGGGCTCCTCCAGAACACCAGCATAAACACAGCTCCCCGGGCTCTCTTTCAAAGAGGAGCATCTGCTAAATGCTGCTGCCACCTGGTGCTCCCTTCCTCTTCCTGCACTGAGCTGCGAGAAACGAGTGTCTGTGAGCGCAGCCCCAGGGGCATGCACCTCAGTGCTCCTCAGGGGAGCCCTGATCATCCTTGGGATGTCTGTCAAGCTCCCTAGGTGCTCCAGGACTGATGGAGAATGAGCGAAGGGGAATTCTCAGCCCTTGCAGAGGGGGTAGGTGGGTGCTAGAGATGACTGCTAGGATGCAAGGTCCTCAGGACACAGAAGCAGTTCAGGTGTGTAAAAATGAGCTGAGTTTACCCTTCAGTTGATTAGAAGTCTGACACAGCTGTGGCCCAGAATCCCAGCCTCAGTGCTTAGGTTGAGCATCTCTCTAATGCAAAATCACTTTATTTTTCTAGCTCCTCTGAGAAGTGAGTTGTCAGGGGAGAGGAGTGTTTGGATTTCCTGCTGTACAGATATCGCCACTTGGCAGTATGAGAGGAACTTAAATACAGGCCTGATGCTTAGAGAGGCCAGTACCTACAGCTGCCACTGTCCCAAGCAGGAATGACAGCGATCCAGTGGCTGGGGATTCTGCTGAGCTGCTGGCACTCAGTACTGGCCTCCTGCCTTTGACAGCCCCTTTCTGAAAAGATGCTTGTCCACAGATGATCTCGGTGGCCCCATGGGAGCAGAGAGCCCACTACCTACAAATAAAGTGCATTGTTTCATTCCCTTCTGCCAAGGAATATGAGAATCTGTTGATCACCATTCTCATCACAACAAGCTTTTACATACTGGAGATCCCCTTTAGTAGTCTGTTTTCTAGATTAAGTAAGCCAATTTTTAAATGTTTCCTCATTTGTTTTCTGGACTTCTGTCTATTGTTGAGATGACTTCCACATTTTGGGTTATTTGACTGAAGCGCCTAAAAGAGCTGAGATGCCCCAACTAAGGCATCACAGAGCTGTGAGGAACAATACAGTGAAATCATGCCCTCCCCTCACCTACAGATGACACTCCCATTAACCCCTTTTAGAATAAGGTTGCATTTTCCTTGTAGGAGGCTGCCAACCTATGCTACCAGTTCAGTTCCTGCTCTGCAACCCCTCCTGCCACCCCCCTGTTTTATCAATAATTTTTGGCTTTGGACCCCTGCTTCTGTCTCCCTTTCTTTGCTTCTCTTTTACTGTCCTTGTGAATAATGATGCACTTCCCACTTCTTCCATCTTGTTTTCTGATTTCAGGTCCTGCTCAAGATCAAAGAAGCCAAAAAGCGTCCACCTCCACCATCACCCAAGAGACGCCTGCGTCGGACCAGCACCCGCCGCTCCGGCTACGCTTTCTCCCATCAGCACGGCTTTGGAGCACTCATTATGTCTGGGAGAAATATGCGGCCAAAATCACCTTTTGCCACGACAGGAACATTTTCACCAAATAGTGACAAACATAAACACAAAGGACTGTAAAAAAAAAAAAAAAAAGAGAGAGAGACAAAAAAACAACAACAAAGCAAACCAAAGTAAAGGGCTGTCAGGAGAGGAGGCTGTGCTCCCTGCAAAGCACCAAGCCAGTGGCTGCCCAGATCTCTGCCCTCTGGGCTACCAAATCAAGGACTTGGGTGTCTTTCCTTTCACCCATGTGCATGCTCTGACTTCAGCTGCTCTTTCAAAGAGGTGTGCTGCTGCCAGGGAAGGTGGGCAGGGTGAATTAGAGCTGGTGTATGATATCCCAGAGGACCTCCCTGGAACAAGAGAGAACATGCTGCGGGAGGCATCTCCGCTCCCTGAGGTTGTTCGTAACGCTGGGGTTTTTTTCCCTCCCTTTAACTACATACCTCAGAGCAAAGAGAAGTCCAGGCTGAGGAAAAGGCTGAATTGGTGATGTCTTTCTCATTCGCATGCCTTTTATTTCTGTCATGAGTCCACTCTGGGCCGTATTACTGGGGTGACAGTATTGACCCCAGGTGTGCCTTCGGTCCAGCCACACAACCCCCAAATCCCCAATCTTTGTAATATGTGTAATTCTGTAGCCTTTTGACTGTACACAGGCACTTTGGAAGGAATGAGTTGGAAATAACCTCCTTCCAAACTAATGGTTAATCCAGTTTCACAAGAGGTGGCCAGTGCCCAAACACCGCCTTCTTCCTGCATCTGCAGTCGGGAAGTGCTGCAAGCTCAGAGAAACCCTTAGCTGGTCAAGGGACAAGGACTTGACATTCATCAGCCTGCTCTGTTCTATCTGCATTGCAAATCTGCTCTTGTAAAAGATCATTGTTGTCAGAGCCCTCTCAGGTTTTGTAGCTAGGCACCAGCCATTTCATTTAGACTTAAAATAAAAGGGCAGAAGAAGCTTAAGCTCCCATACAGATCAAGCCGTAAAATCTGGCCCTGAGAAGCCCATCTCATGGTTAGGGCTCATCTGACCTGCCAGCACCAGGTGTCTCTCCCACCATAACAGACCGAGGCACACCCACATCTGACTTGATGGAGATCACACAAGCAGTATGAGAGGCAGAGATGCTATTTCACGACTAGCGCAGGGTGTCCTGCCCTTTACTCCACCAGTGCTGTTGCTCAGTGTAAGGGATGAAGCATGACCTGGTGGCTCCCTCACCCTCCCTGAGGGATGGTGTGGTCAGGTTTCAGAGGAATTTAGTGAGGGCTCAGGAGCTTCTGCAGAATTTCTCTGTGCTGGCTAATATTTTGTTTGGGAAGAGTTCATCTGTCAACCATGAGCTGCAGAGAGCTGAAAATCCTATCAGTCTGACTGCCAGCAGAGGGACCTAAGATGCACAGACGCAGCCGAAGACATGGTGATCCTGAGGGACTGGGATTTGCTCACTGTTTTGTTAGACCAGCTCCATAATCAGCGGGGTTACTGGGTAGAAGGCCAGCGTGGCAGCATCAGAGTCTGTCCTGCCAGTACTGCTGAGCTGTCTAAATGGTGCTTTTTTGTGCAGCGGACTGAGCAGTGTTGGCTGTTTCATTTTTTTCAGCTCCTTTATACAAATTTAGACTCCTTCCTTTTTTTTAATTGGATTTTTTTTGCACAGTAACCATCTGGTATTTGTTGGGAGCTCTCTGACTTCAGTCTCTGAGCTATCTGTGGAGGCAATGTATGATGGCAACAGGGCAGCCATGTCCCCATTTCATCTGGTCTGTGTATACCACCTTGCTGCCTGTGATCCCAGTTTCAGCAGTTACTGTGCAAGATTGTTTAAGCTCTAATAAAAGGTTTCATCTCCCTGGGTTTAACTCGGCACAGAGAAGAACTGTCTGTTGCACCTGCTGCTTTGGGAGGCTTGTTGCAAACTGTGCTATTAAATTTCAGAATGGCCAGTGCAAAAGTAGAGCTGGGACAGGATCCAGACTTCAGCAGCCAGGAGATGCTTGCTAGGGAAGGAGCAAATTCTAATCTGCTGATCTCCCCTGCAAGGAGATACTTAAGTAAAGTGAGAGCCTGCACACTGACTGAGGAACCGCTGTGATATTTAGTGCTTGTCACAGCCCTTTGATTTACCATTCACTTTGCAGAGACAATCATGGCTTTCTGGTGAGGATTATGTCTTTCACAGCTTCTCTGGGGCTAGAGGGAAAAGAATTTATGCAGGTAAGCAGACATCCCCACACTACCCAGACTGGTCTGTGGACCTACAGTCCTGTCAAAGCTGGTTCCTAGCATGTAATGCAGCAGGATATAATGCAGAGCAGCAGAGACGCAGACCTTTTGCTGACAGAGCAAGGCCACTCTGAGACTGTGTCACTCTTCTCATATGGTTTATGTGCAAAGCACTCACCTTCTGGCTGAAGGGGATTTGCAAATGCTGCATAGCATGTGCAGGGGATAATAGAGCTGTTGGTGAACTTGCACCAGATACAAATATTTCAGTGGTTTGACAAGATCAGCATTTGAAATGTATCAGCTGGCAGTGATGTCTGTCCTACATCACTCCTGATTTTGTAATTTTTTTTTTTAAATAAAAAGACAATATTGGGATGACCAATTCCTTGCCAGTCTGCTAGTTGATCAAAGGAGTTTATAACCAGATGTGTATGTCATTCCTGGGCCTTCTAAAGCGGGAGGACGGTCTGTGGGCAGATGGATCTGAGGTGATAGCCCTTTTCATACCCTATCCCGATTTGGGAGACAATCAAATTCCCGAACTTTGGATGCAGCAGGGATATTTTTACTAAGAAACTTAAGAGGAAACGCCAGACATCCTTAGAAGGAGGACGCCAACTCCCGGGGCGGGGGGAGCGGGCGGGCAGCGCCGAGATCCCGCCCCGCGCCCGGCTGTAAACAGAGGAGCGGAGCGGAGCCGGAGGCTGGTAAGGGGCGGCGGCGGGGGCGGC